TTTAATTTTAGTCATAAGCAACACAAGGCACCAAGTTTTATTTATCATAATGTATGAAGAATTTCAATATTTGGCATCTGGAAATGAAGAATAAATTAAAATATTTAAAAATAATCATAATTTCAATAGTTGAGATCATGAGTCAATTGAAGCCAGACCACCATGGAAAACCTGAAAGCACTGGACGGCCGTTTCGTTCTATTGTGGGACTCCTCAGTAGTACGCATTCACCACCCCGCCTCGCGGGATTCCAATACAGGACCTATCAGTCTCGCACCAGGTGCTTAACTACTAGACCACTGAGCCGGCATCCAATGGTGTTAATGTTTAACTTCAACTAATAATGATATTCTTTTACAGCAATGCCCAACCCTCCTCCTTTACCAGGGCTTGAGACCGGCAGTAACTGTAGAAGAGCTAAAAGCTGAGTTTTACCACAGCAGTTCAATTGGTATTATTTGCATGTATCTTCCAATTGTTGTGTACGAAAGCAATCGATCAATTTCTTTTTGGTATAGGTGTATCCTGTACGGATTACCTCGTTATTGCCTAAAGCCACAAGCATTCTAAGCAAATATGAGGATAGTAGCTAGTAGTGGGATCCAGAACGCGTGTTTCCTCCTATCTGTAACTCGTCAGATGTTCTCCCTAAGACTCGAACCCATTACCGTCCACTTCAAACGTCATCGCGTTATCCATTTACTTACTGAATCCTGATAGCCGCTAACTTATGAAACGGGGTGAAATTTTAGATTCACTTGGTATTGTTTGCCTGTACCTTCCCATTGTTATATAGGACTGCAATTGATCAGTCTCTTGTTGGCACATGTGCATACTGTACGTATTGCCTCGATCGGGCTTTAATTCACAACCATAATAAGCAATGATGAATAGTGGCTAGCAGAGAGGATTTCTTGAGGATTCCTGATACAAAAATGTTGAGAGTGTGGATTATTGGTTTCTGATAAGATTATTTTAATGGTATAGAAAAGGATTTCCAGTATCTTATTTCTGTATTGACTAGTATTTATACAGAGGCTCAATTGATTGCCTTGTCCATAACTATCTCTTTCATAGTCCGATCAACTGTATATACGTAATCATATGTATCCGTCAAAGAAGTTACATTGGTGGAACAGATAGGAGAGCCTATGTTCGATTCAAAGAATATATATATAAGGACAAGTGGATTACAATTATTCAGCAGTGTCATCTTATGACATCTTGATATAGGACATCAAATGGACACAGTGAAATCTTGCAAGATGACTTATGAACAATGAAAGTTCAATTTTTTGAGATTTTCCCATCAAATATTTGAAACCAGATCTATGTGGCTAAAAAGGGATAGTAATAAATCTTTCTTTGTCATGGTAACATGATATCCCTTTTATTGCTTCATTCATTATTTCAAATCTCTTTCTTTCTCTCTCTCAAGTTTAATTACATCATTGTCGAGATTAGATGGTAGTTGGAGGTAGTCAACACGAAACCCTAGACCCAGGTTTCATGCTACATGGCACTCGTCAGCAAGATGTACCTGTAATCTTGAGGGAACTAGTGCTCCCTGACGGATTTGTCCCCGTGTCAACCAGCTTCACAATCAGAGACATTACTACTGAGCTATCCGGACCGTGACCGATCTCCTGTAGGACTGAGATGTAATCACGATTGACTGATCACCACCCAGTGATCAATCAGTTGTGATCATTGTCATTTCTAGTTAATTCATAATTGACTGGTCCCAACTTTCTTTAGTATTATTAATCTGTTTCTGGTCACTTCATTACATAATCGTCTACTGTTTAATAACTCAATGAGGTCGAACTATTAGTTCGATGTGTTGTGGATGCGCAGGAATAGACCAATAATTATCATGTTAAGTTCAATGGTGTCCTTGGACTTTAAATGGACATTTCCTATTGGTCGATATCTGTTCACTTGTTGAATATTGTACAAAATGTTGTTTTCTATTTTTATGGTACGCTGTGGTATGCTTGACTAGTATATAAACAAAGTATGTTTGAAATATAGTGATTCATATCTCCGAGGCTGTGACTTGTGTTCTGGACTCAACTAACTGGGCTAGACAGGGAAGCGAGACCAATAGAGACTCTAGGCCGTCCGTACGTGTTTTCCGTGTCACTGTACTGCGATCGATCAATAAATACGCTGCTTATCAAACCCTGCAGTCTCACAACTTAAATTCATAACAATTGGCGACGGGGTGGAGAAAAATTTTGAACCTTGTAATTGGACGAGATTCAGGTTAATTGTTTCGACCAATCAGCATCCAGATTGTCACCAGCGTCCTTGAGCAACATTGGTCATTATTCCTACAGTTAATTTTCATTGCAGGTGCTGAAAAAAAAATGACTACCTTTTCCGATCGATTACAGCTTCTACTTGAGCAACAACAGCAGTGCTTCAAAAATAGCCAGTTAAATTTTTTAGAAAATTTACGCACACTGTTGGTAAATGTTCCATGTTTCGGAGGTGCAACAGAAGTTGGTAAATTCATTTCTCATCTGCAGACTGAGCTGGAAAACAACTGCAGAACATATGAAGCTGTTTATAAAAGCCTCTGTGAATCCCGGACGACCAGTGATGTAAACGAGACAGTTATTCATGGTCCGCCCAGTTGTCCAGAAATGTCAAATTCCGAAACGTTCCCTGTCGTGGGTTCAAATCCCACTGTTCCTGAAACGTGTACAGACAGTGATGTACCCAGCTCACAGGAGGATCTCTTATTAAATGCTCATAAATTAATTGCAGTACCCGCCCACAACGGAACAGGGAACAAATCGTGCGGTACACTGAATCCAGCTGTTTCAAATGGTCCTCATCATTCAACAACAGGAGATTCTGACGAATCTTATTATCTAGATCTTTTTGTACCAGAAAATGTGTTAAATGCATTAAATGATGATCAGAAATCTAATACAATTTTGATAGATGTTGATTATCGCAGTGATCAACTGTTTACAAATGAGATTTTCAACAAATCCCGTGACAATGTTCCAGAAGAATCAAACGTTGGTGACCTCATATCAAGCGACATTGTTCCCCACTATTTAATCACTTTCAGTGACTCCCCTGTTCAATCTGACAATTATGTGTTAAATAAAGTCAAATTAATTCTAACTTGGGAATATGAGGACCCAACATTATTTCGTGGGGGAGGATGAACCCAGAAAATTTCAAAATCCGGATATCAACTCCGGATCTTCAAAAAAAAGGGGAGGTGTTGTGGATGCGCAGGAATAGACCAATAATTATCATGTTAAGTTCAATGGTGTCCTTGGACTTTAAATGGACATTTCCTATTGGTCGATATCTGTTCACTTGTTGAATATTGTACAAAATGTTGTTTTCTATTTTTATGGTACGCTGTGGTATGCTTGACTAGTATATAAACAAAGTATGTTTGAAATATAGTGATTCATATCTCCGAGGCTGTGACTTGTGTTCTGGACTCAACTAACTGGGCTAGACAGGGAAGCGAGACCAATAGAGACTCTAGGCCGTCCGTACGTGTTTTCCGTGTCACTGTACTGCGATCGATCAATAAATACGCTGCTTATCAAACCCTGCAGTCTCACAACTTAAATTCATAACACGATGTTCTGAAATTTTCCCTCTCAAACCTTATTTATGTAACTAAAACAAAGTTTTATATACAAAGATCAATGGCGGGTTAATAGTGGAATCCAGAATGCGTGTTAAGTCCTATTTTAAGACTCATCAAATGAATCTGGAAGTTGATGTTCACTCTAGGACTCGAACTCAGTACAGTTCACTTCAAATGCCATCATGTAATCCACTTCACTGCCTTATTAATTCGATTGGAATCTTCCCTTCATCATGATACATAAATTCATATTTAATAATCATGGTATTTACTACAAGTATGTCAATATCTAGGCGATAAGAACCTGGAATAGAAAATTAACTTTTATATCACAATATTTTGTTATTTGTATTTGGATACATAAATATTGGTACCAAGGGGGAACCGAATACATATGCGACATACAAGTCACTTAATTTGTGTGTGTGGGCTATGATACTGCATTGGTGTTCAGACAGAAGCAGGTGGTTTCTTTAAGGGGTCACACACGAAGCCTTCGATCTAAAAAGTCTGATACAGAATTCAGTAGAGCAATGTTAGGCGATGTAGTCTCATGGTAGCCGGTGACTAACAATTGTTTCATATGCTATTTGTTCATTCAGAGTACTGAAGCCCATATACACCATTAGATTGGAATCCGGATTTTCTAACAGCCCTAAGTGAATCCTCCATATCCACCAACCCGGTTAAAGCTCCTGACGTATATTCGCTTTTCTTTCTCTCAATTTCATAAACAACAATAATGCCGCAAGAAGGTAATATGTAGAACTTCCCTGTCAGTGATTGTATACGCGTGGCCATGTGAAAGCATTTGTAAAAAGAGAGAAAGAGAGAGAGCTAACTCTCCCTTCTCTCGTTTGTACCAGGGTATTTTGACTCCATTTTCATCGTTTATCATTTAACTCATTTCATATCAATATATAAATGTACAAAAATATTCTTATTTATAAGGTAGTTTTATTATGTTGTATAAATAATACCTACCACAACCCTCACCCCACAGCAACCCCTCCCCCCCGTCAAATAATTCAACGCCATAGAAACAATAGATATTCAATAATTGAATAACTGACTAATTGAAGAAAACAAAAACAAAAAAAACGACACAAAAAAAATACAATCACATAGTAACTATACTTTCTAAATAAATTCTGATTAATAATAATAATGGTCTATAGTTAAATATTAATAGTTGCCATGTGATAAAAGGAATTCATTAGTCACTAATAAACGTGTTTCTAAGCGTGTCATATTGCTTCATAGTATCATGTGTTTCATGTACAATGTACCTACATACTTGTATAGATATACCCAAGTATCTATGTATATATATTTGATAAGCCAAATGATATATGAGATAACCTATATGGTAATCTTAAAAAGTTTTTCTTTGTAAAGTAAGTCATTTTGGGGATTCCATTCAACGTTGATCTATATTATTTTCATATAGAAATAGAAATTGAGTTATGATTCATTATAAAACAAGAAGATTTCTTTATAAGTTATGAATGGATAGTCATTAGCAATAGAAACATCCAGCTGACGAGTCCCAAATAGAACGAAACGCGCGTCGTGGATTCCATTGCTAGCCACTATCTATCACTGCTTACAAAAGAACTTGGATATATGTTTCGTCCTATTTTGAAGGCTCGTCAATTGGATGTACTTCCATCAAAGAGTCGATGTTCACTTTGAGACAAGAACATAATACCATTTGTTTCAAACACTATCATTTGATTCATTTAGCTACTGATTTCAAGTAGTCAATAGCTTGTTTAATAGATTGAAGTTTTAATTCATTTTTGCATCGGTTGCTTGAATCTTATCATTTAAATGTTAACGCACTGTATAAGGAAATGACTATCAAGACTTAGTAGCTAAATGGATAATGTAATAGAGTTTGAAGCGAACGGTTCTCCGTTCGAGTCTCAGAGTGAACATCAATTTCGTGATACAGATACATCCAGATGACGAGTCACTAATAGGACGAAACCTACGTACTGGAATCCACTGCTAGCCCCTATCCATCTTTGTTTTCATTAACTATTCAGTATATATATATATACACTATATTGACTGAATTAATTTGTTTAAGTGAACTAACTTCTCCATGTGTCTTACTGATTACCGTTTGCTAAACACATGTGTTTGTATACATACCTCATTGTGAATTTGTTCGCTGACGTTATCTAGTCATTTCAATAACGATCCGTTGAACACGTTTTAGTTCAGATTATACAACGTGTTACTTATCAGTTACACACAAACACATTGGATCTATATATTGACACCTCTTGGAATTATTTCGTTAACATGATCATAATTGTGAATATATATATTTATTTAATAGTTTAATTCATAAGTCAATTGAAGCTAGACAACCATAGAAAACCCGAAAGTACTGGACAGCCGTTTCGTTCTATCGTGGTTCATGATCTCAATCAAAAACTCTGATAATCTCTACAACCCTTAACTGATAATTACCATGAGCTCACTAGTGAACAGCTTCGTGAAGGAATTCTCTGACTTCTAATGAAAAGTCTTGACCAGTGGAGTTAATCTGCGTTGGATAGATACAGATATCTACCTTAGTACAATGGAAGATAGTCACGCAATTTCATGGATTGGTCGAGCTTAAACATTAACACCGTTGGATGACGGCTAACTCAGTGGTCTAAAGGTTCGTGCTCGAGACCGAATACTCTGTGTTCGAATCCCACGAGCAGGATCATGGATACACACTGTTGAGGAGTACCGCAACAGGACGAAACGGTCATCCAGTGATTCCACATTTTTAATCCTGGTCTAACATGATCTTAAATCAATCAAAACATACTACTAAATAAATATAAATGAGGATATATGATTGATCACTAAAAAAAAAGAAAACAATAAGTCAAGTAAACAAACAAGATAGACAGACAGAGCGAGGGGGAGAAGGACAACACCAACAAGTAGAAGAAGAAGAAGAAGAAGAAGAAGAGGAAGAAGAAGAAAGAATGGGAGGGGAGAAGAGGAACATTGTTCACTTTTTCCACATAAACTATGTCATTTACAAAAAAAACTACTCAACTACTATTTTACAATTCAATAGTCAATCAATTGGTTAGATTCATAATGTTATTTTGTTTTCTTTAAGAATATCTAAGTATATGTGATATAACCCCGGATGTGAATAATAAATGGTAACTATCGAGATCTTATTATGGTCTTATTCTGTTCAGGGATTGTTATGGTATCATTGTTAAGTAGATTTTGAACGATATAGCCATGAGTATATAGCCACTATCAGGGATATCCGTTGGCTAGTTACCATCAGTAACAATTTATTGTGGAAGAGAATAAACCAACTTGTAAATGAGGAAGAGATTAGAAAAAAGGACATTGGAAGTGGATAGAACATGTATTTATATAGTGGGAATCATCAAACTATATGAAGAGGCACACGCATTAATTTGGAATGTTGAAGGGAAACAGAAAAAAAAAGAAAGTCAAAGAACATATCACATTGAGAAATGGAAGTAGGTATGAAAAAGGATGAATAGCAACTGGAAATAACTGGAAAGGATTACCCAGGATAGAGTTGAATGGAGAATGTTGGTGGCTGGTCTATCCACCTCCAAGAGGTGTAACAGGCCTAAGTTAGTATGTAAGGGATGACCTACTTAACACCTTCTCATGGCAGGGGTATTGTTTATGAAATAACGACATGTTATAGGAATATATTCAATCATTGTTCATTTGTAAAATTGCGCGTCTTTTTACATTTTGCTAAGATTCTACGTGTTTCCATTGTATCCCAGATAAATTGAATTCATTATCAAATCAGTATTTTGAAATTTATCAAGGATATATTCACAGGTAATCTATGTTAATACAATAAACTTATTGATAACTATTTGTCTATGCATTAATTTTATAATACTAATATGTTGTATGCTGCCCCAAATGGTCTGATACAGCAGAGAGTAGGAAGAGTTAGCTCGCCCTCTCGAAATGCTCTCACATGACCACGCGTATACAACCATTGTCAGGAAAGTCCTACTCACTGCCTTCTCACGGCATTACTGTTGTTTAAGAAATTGAGAGGACGAAATGTGAATACCCGTCAGGGGCTTTGGATATGGAGGATCCACTTGGGGGATTTGGAAAATCCTGGTTCCAAACCAATGATGCACATAGGCTCCGACATCCTGACAGAATAAATAGCGCGTGAATCAATTGTCGGTAACCGGCTATCATGAGACTGTACCTCCTTAGGTTGCCCCACTGCATTGTGGATCAGAGCTTTAGGTCGAAGGCTGCGTGTGTGGCCTCCTAAGAAAACCTCTTGCTTCAGTTTAGACACCCGGTTAGTATCACAGCCCACACACACAAATCAAGTGCATTATGCATCACATATGTATCCGATGCCCATTTGTACCAATATTTATATGTTCAAATAAATAAACTAATGTTGTATGCTACTTATGATGACAGTAGATGATTGAAAAGATCAAATTGACAAGAACTGAACTGTTAACAGAAAGTAATTGTAATAAAAACAGAATTGAAAGAATCATGAATTATATAAAGTTCAACTGAAGGAACATATGTAAGTAATACAATGAATGTATAATTTTCATATCTAACCCAACACACAATACTTTTGAAATATACATGGAAACCATTCATTGAACACAATATTTATACAACTTCTTTGCATTATCCTTTATACAATTCACTACTCCTTTGAATTTCGTTGTTATTTGGATTCCTTTCCGATTTCCTTCATATTCTCAACGTTCCAAACGTCTACTGACAGGTATTCCACTTTCAATTTCTGTTATATACTGCTAATATCAGTCATTATAAGTAGCATACACCATATATATTTATATGATTTATAAGTATCTCTGTTATTTTCTTATTAAATCACTTTGTTAGATGATCAATACATGGTAAATAAAAACTGTATAGGTGATGGAGTGCTTACATCGTCTATGTGATTTACTGTAACCAAGGATATTTGTACAGTTGACATTCAGTTAGTAACGTAACAATGACACTAGGAGGAGAGTCTATATGATACCTTGTATTTCAACCCATTGATACTGTTTATGATTACGTGTGTATTATAAAGCACGGTTCAATATATTAATGATGATTTTTCTAAGTGATACTAGTTTCTAAGGAAAATTAGTTTTAATTATATTGAAAGCCCAGTTAGATAGCTGGTTTCATTGTTTTGTAATATGAACTTGCTAATAGACATACAGTAATCCCGCGAGGTGGGATCGTGGATGCGCACTGACGAGGAGTCACACGATAGGACGAAACGGTCATCCAGTGTTTCCATGGTGGTTTAACTTCACTTGAATCATGATCTCAACTATTGATATAATATATCGTTTATTATAGCTGATGAACATAGTTTGCATTAGAAACTGATTTCAGTTAGATTAGCATTGAAAACCAGGAAGCATTTGACAGACATTACGTCCTGATATCCATTACATCGGAAGATTGAAACCATGACTCTATAGGGTATAAAACTCAAGATCTGAAGATCTTCAAATAAACATTTAATCGTATGATCACTTAGACGATGTCAAAATGATTACCGTTTCTAACTGCGATCAATCCTCAGTATTGTGCAACCATCTTTTACTAACATTAATGAGTAAGCGCTTCACTATGAGAAAGTCAATACTTCATACAATGACTGAAGTTAGATATATAAACCAGTGGTACGACCCCATTAGTCTTAATGTTAAGCACGTGTCGCTAGATAAAAAGGTCCTGGGCTCCATGCCCGATAAGATCGTGGTTTAGATCTTCTGATATGACTCATGATGGGACGAGATATCTGTCCAGTACTCCCTGATTTTCAATGGTTGTCTAACTAATACCAGTCCAAGAAGAAAACTATAAAAATCCAAATAATTCCTTAAAACCCTTACACTAATTCAATGAACACTGAATAATGACCAATCTTATGCCTATCTACTGATTCAGTGTTCATCGAATTCCATTGATCAAGTTTTTATGTTGTTACCATTCAAAGTGACTGGAAGTCACATACATCACATTTAAAATTAAGATCGTTAGGAGTAGTGAACCGTTTGTTGACTCCTGAAATATCATTGGTTTGTCAGTATTCAATGTTCAGTCAATTTTAAATATATCTCAGTATTACATGATGTCATTTACGTCCTGAACAGTTCAATTGTAGTCTGCGATTGTGAAGCTGTGTACCTCAGGGTCGAATTCGCCAAGGAGCATCAATGCCCTCCAGATTACACATATAACTTACTATTTATTTATTTATTTTAACACATATATATTAATACAAGGAGGCACCAAATACATATGCGCCACACAAATCTCATCCGATATGTGTGAGGGCTGTGATGCTGCCCGAGTGCCCAAACCGAAGCAGGTGGCTATCTTAGGGGGCCACATCCCGAGCCTTCGACCTGAAGGTCTGATCCACAAAGCAATGGAGGATCGTAAGGAGATGCAGTCCCATGGTAGCCGGTGACCAAAGATTGGTTCATACGCCATTTGTTCCCGGAGGATACTGGAGCCCATGTGCACCATTGGTTTGTGACCCGGTTAAAGCACCGGACATTCGCTTTTCGTTCTCTCATTTTCGTAAACAACACCCCCGCCACGAGAAGGCAGTGAGTAGGACTTCCCTGGCAGAGGCTATATACGTGTAACCATGTGAGAGCATTTCGAAAGGGAGAGCGGACTCTCCCCACTCCCGGCCGTATCAGGGCATTTGGGGGCCATAACTTACTGACGAGTGCCAAATATCGTGATGCATAGTTCCGGGATTCCCGGTCGAATGCTTCCAATCACCATGATGGCTTAATAGTTATATATTTTACGCGGGTTAAAAAACACTGATTCGCGACGATATATTGAAACTAAAGGTCTTATTTTTGTCGGCAGACAATTTACTCATCTGTGTATAAATAACTACTTAGCAATTTACACAAGACATACTTACTTACGCCTGTTACTACCAATGGAGCATAAGCCGCCGAACAGTATTCTCCAATTCACTCTGTCTTGAATCTTCCTTTCTAGTTCGATCCAGTTCTTTTTCATTCGTCTCATGTCTGTCTCCATTTCCCGGCGCAATTTGTTCTCTGATCATCCTCTTCTCCTTCGGCCTTGAAGATTACAATTGAGGGCTTGGCTTGTGATACAGTTGGGTGCTTTCCTCAATATGTGTTCTATCCACTTTGAGCAATTCTTCCTGATTTCTAACTCCACTGGTATTTGGTTTGTTCTCTACCACAGTAGATTGTTGCTGATAGTGTCTGACCAACCCATCCGAAGTATTTAACATAGACAACTGTTAATAAGCACTTGTATCTTCTGTATGATGGCTTTCATAGTTCTCTAAGTTTCCGCCCCGTACAGTAGAAGTGTCTTGGCATTTGTATTGAAAGTTCTGACTTTGGTGTTAGTTGGTTGATAGTTTTTTTGAGTTCCAGATGTTCTTCAGTTGTAAATATGCAGCTCTTGCTTTGTCGATCTGCGCTTTCACATCCGCATCAGATACACCGTCACGGTTTCATCCTTGTGATTGGTGTTGTTGTCTAGCTTCAATTAATTCACGATATTTCATATTCCTTATCGATTATCATTATTATCATAACCAAAAATATTATCACGTTTTATACGCGTTCTCATAACGTCAACGAGAACACAGACGAGAACATCCAAATCTACTTTATTACAACATTACAAAATATCTGAATAACATACAGTAAAAAAAAATACACCATTCTGTAAACTATCAATCAACTGTCTCAGATCTCATTGTTCTTTCGTTTCCATATCAATCATTCTTTGTTCTCATTCTGTTCTCTTCAATCTTCTTTATCTTCTACCATCTAATTTCTATTAGTGAATAATACATACTACTTATATATTTTGAGATTAGATGGTGGTTGTAGGTAGTCAATAGGAAACCCTGAACCTGGATTTCGTGCTACTTGGCAGTCATCAAAGTGTACCTGTAATCTTGAGGGCACTGGTGCTCCCTGGCGAATTCGATCTCGTGTCACCCAGTTTCACAATCAGAGACATTACCACAGAGCTATTCGGCCCACGACTGACCTCCTACTTATATATGTATCAATATCAATAATACATATATTATAATATACTAATAGTGATATCATTCAAATGTATAGATTTCAATTACCTCAGCAGCAACAATAACAAAAGTAATTGATAGTTTTACACATTGTAATCAATCAAAGATGAACTCATTTAAACATAGACCTATAGAATGAATCTCATAGTTCATGGTAATGAATTACGTGATGTTTTCTAATATGACTGATCATGATCATAAGTAGTAGCACAGTGATATATAAATGATCCGATTATCATTATATATAAACCTTCTTATATAATCATAAGCTGATTACCTATTACATAATCTCTATAAATGAACATGATACTCATTAACTTATATCAATTCAATTCTTATTAATAAGGATTAATTACATAGTAAATTTCTATGAATATGGATCATAATTGATTTAGATCATACTGATTATTATTATTTTATTTGATAGATACCATAATGAAAGAGAAAACTACCATGAATATAACTCAAGATGATCAAATCAATAAAGTAACCAATATGAGTAGTAGTTGTCTGAATTGTATCAGAAGTCGTACAACAATATTGATTATTGTATTTATTGCATTACTTCTAGATAATGTATTATTAACTACTATTGGTAAGTCATTATTGATCACTTATGTATAACTATATATAGCTGTATTGATATTAGTAATCTTATGTAATCTCGATGTCATTACTTACTTACTTACTTACTTACTTACTTACTTACTTACTTACTTACTTACTTACTTACGACTGTTACTCTCAATGGAGCATAGGCCGCCAACCAGTATTCTCCAACTCACTTGTTATATTTGGTCGTCACAATTGTTGTGCCGGAAAATGTCGCTAATCACTTATACTCGGTACGAGGGAACTCGGCAATTCCCACGATGCGAAAGTGAGAACACAAGACTGGTGTATAAGTGAAGATTTATTAGCCCCCAAAACACTATGACGACGACGACGAATCAAAATAGTCTAAAATACACTCATTTGTATATTGATTGTACACCCATTTTGATTAATAATTAGGATTAGATCACATACTCAGTTATAACAAATCACTTACTGAGCATAGTTCATGTTCAAGTGAATACAAGAATATCTCGTATATTATACAGAAGAAAATATCATACTGAGAAAACAAATCAAATACTACACTGAATGATCCTCATTTTGAATCAAAACGGATGTCGAGTGTTGAATAAAACTCATAATGAGTAATTCAATCGAAAATTGACTTTTCTTTCCATCATATATCACCTCCCCTTTTTTGAAGATCCTGAGTTGATATCCAGATTTTAATTTCTCCGAGTTCATATTGCTATATCTTGTGACCGCCGATTAATATGCAGTGACTTATCAATCAGATCAATGACGTGTAAACCCGCACGAGCAGTCTAAAGTTCTGCTTGGTCCCTCTTTCCTGTCTAGCCCAGCCAGTTGAGTCTAGAACACCAAATCTCAGCCTCTGCGATATGAATCATTTATTTCATACATACGAGGTTTATATACCAATCAAACCGACCACAACATACCATAAAATAGAAAATAACATTTGTACAATATTTGGCCAACAGGTAATGACACGTGAAATAAATATTGACCGATTGGAAAATGATACCATCTCGAGTCCAAAGGATAGCATTAGACTTAAAAGGATAACGTTTGGGGATATTTTTTGAATATCCCAACATCACTCTGTCCTGGACCTTTCTTTTTAGTTCTGTCCAATTTTTGTTCATTTTTCTCATGTCTGTCTCCATTTCTCGGTGTAATGTGCCGTTTGGTCTTGAGGATTCCAATTGATGAGTGATTGTGTTGTGAAGCGATTTGGTGCTTTCCTCAATATGTGTCCTATTCACTTTCAGAGGTTCTTCCTGATTTCTTCCTCCATTAATGATGATCCTCAAACTTCATAAATAGTTCATCCTGATAAATTGTTATTAGATAATGTCTTCAAACTATGTTTAAATTAGAAAAGACAAGTACAAAGTGTTGATTGTGTTTATTATGGCATAAAGTACAGATTATCAAAACCATTGATACATGAGATAAGAATGAAAGATGAATGTCGAAAAGCAATCGAATGAGTGAGCAAGTTCGTGTGTCAAAATTGATGGAAAAAAATGTACATATACGCGAGACTAGAACTTGTGAACGAACCAATCAGGTATATAAGATTCATCCATTTGGATAAATACAGTTTTGGTATTACCGTTGATGTCAGTTCTTAAGGAAAACCCTAAATCTAATTTCGAACTCTTAACCATCAACTTTAAATCATCATTCGAACTCTCCCTATTGGTTTATAACCAACATTTGATCGTAGTTTCTAGGTGGATACTCTCAAAGTCAGTCTGGCGTCTCTTGAAAGTTATCCATAAATTATAGTCTCACCCACATATATATAAGTAAGGAAATCAATTAACCGACTAATAGTAGAATAAATACGTCGGCAGTAGGCAATGCTCAATCATACAGATTCATAAAAGTGTAACAATAATAAAGGTATAATGATATGCTATGAAATGATGTTTTGTTGCCTTTGGTAAGATTGAATTCCTTTGAACTACATACTGAAAGAATCCATCTACATCTATAATCATAGTTTCAATTCAGTTATTTGCTTATACATAGTATAATAATAATAATAATAATAATAATAATAATAATAATAATAATAATAATAATAATCCAAAGCATCATCATCATCCAAAGCATCATCATCATCATCATCATCATCATCATCATCCAAAGCATCATCATCATCATCATCATCATCCAAAGCATCATCATCATCATCATCATCCAAAGCATCATCATTATCATCATCCAAAGCATCATCATCATCATCATCATCATTTATGATCACTATTTATACAGTAGTTTCATTCAATTATTCCATATAGGTTCTTAGTGTATTTAGTGTAAACTGGCTCAATATAACAGTATATAGATAATTATAGGTATCAATAAGGGCTATTTATTCATAATCATATTTCAGTAGTTTTAAATGACTTCTTTGATCATATTGTGGTGTGTGGGTGGGTGCTACTGATGTCTAAAGATATAAGTAGTATGTATCATTCGCCAATAGAAACTGAAATGCTTAGTAGCAGAAGGTTAGGAATATCGAAGAGAAGAGAACGAGAACAGAGAATGTATGGTTCTGTATGGTTCTCAGATTTTACTATGATGTTCTGTAATGTTGTGTTGATATCCATTTGGTTGTCTCTAATGGTGTTCTTGTTCACTATAACATAACAAATAGCTCGATATATCAGAACATCAGTGATGCTTTTTTCAGTTGTTCAGTTGACCAACATTTAAAATGTTTGACGATAAAAAGAGGAACTGGGGCATTTTCTTCATCCACTTAAATGTGGGGTCTATCTGTATTAAAATAAGCGGCGAAATTATAATTTATGGACGAGCTGATCAGAAACATTTGAGGGATTTCAAGTCCACGGAACCAATTTCAGTACCTGATACTCATGTACAATCGGTTCACAGCAGAATTTAGAGAAAACATGATAATTGAGCGGCTACAACAAATAGGACTACTAAGAAATTCCTTTATTTGTGATTGTGGTAATCAAATGACTTGTGGACCTTGTGCAGACTACCGTAATGATGTTGTGTTTCGATGTAGTATGAGTTGGAGGAAGAATTCTGCTGGAAAAAAACTTTTTTGCTCGATACAGATTGAGACTAAAACGAACTGGATAATAAAAAATACCATTAACATTGGCTGCAACATTTGCAGATGTTACTGAAGCTTCGGCTGTTCAGTAGTATGAGTATTGTAGACATATATGCGCAGTAAAAATGACAAGCCAACACGAATCGTTTAAGATAGTCGTGAGAATCGTTGCCAGGAAACGAAAATTAAACAGAAGGCGTATTGTTAAAGAAAACTGGGTAAGTAGCATCAATATACCTCATAGGTCTTTGAAATATACGACAGGTAATCCCAAAAGAGACACTTTGAACAAGTTAGATACCAACAGACTATAACGATAATACCAATTATACGGGAATATATGCAGCCGTGTTCTACGTTATATACGAATGAGTGAAGAGTGTACAGATGCCTACATAGACTTGGTTATGTGCATCGTGTCGTTATCCACAAGCGGCATTTTTTGAACCCAACAACCAGAGTGCACACAGACAATATTGAAGTTATGCGGCCAAGGCTTAAACAGTTTTTGGCAACCTTATTTTGGCTTAAGAGACCTACTATTATGGACCCATAAGGATGAGTTTCTCTATTGTATGCATTACGATTTCAGAACTTCTGAATCTATTTCTAATCTTGACAAGTTTTTGAACTATATCAAAGAAGTGTATTCAACTCAACTAAAATGTAAAAGCCCTTAGTATTGTTTACTTATATCTTCCCATTGTTGTATTTAGGACTACAATTGATCAGTCTCCTGTTGATATAGGTGTATCTTGTAAGGATTGATTCGATATTGTCTTAAGTCATAAGCTTTATAAGGACATAGTAGCTAACTGTATAACGCGATGGTGTTTGATACGATCGGTAATGGATTCGAGTTGTGAAATGAACGTCAACTCTGGGATGCATATACATCCGGCTGACGAGTTCTAAATAGGATGAAACGCGCATCCTGAATTCTAGTGATAGCCACAAACCATCTTAGATATAAAGTATTTTACTTTAAAAGATCGTTTTAAAACATGTTTTATAACTTATCTATGTCATTTGTTCTCAAACTGTTCTCAAATAATGTACACATTGATGTCACCTAATATGAAAGACATTGTTTCTGTGATTTCTAATAATACTATTCAACTGTTTTAAGCTTAAGTATATGTAATGGGTTTCGAACTTGGAACAGAGTAGTTCAAAGTTGTATAGCTTAATCACTGTTCTTTCTTTTGTTATATATGAAACAATGAAGTCTTACTCTATCTCTAGTCCTGATACTAATTCCCGATTACAACTTATCACTATATATAAATCTTCAGGCTAGACAAACGTTTATATGAAGTGGCAAACAGTGTTATCCAGTACACTCATTTCATCCGATTCAGTACTTGTCAGTTGGATGTACTTGCATCTCAGGGTTGATGTTCACTCTGAGATTAGAACCCAGTACTTGTGAATTTAGCCAATCTCGACGTAATACTCTGAAACGTGGAGAACTAACAGAACCATCATCAAGAAGGTACAATTATTTATAAATAGTTGTTTGCATAAGATAATATCCGTTAGCTGGATGCAACAACCTACTGTGGGACAAGACAAACCAGCTTCCATCTGCAAAAGGAAATTAGGAAAAAATGATGGAAATGGATAAGACATACATTACGCAAATCATCAAACTGCATCACATGAAGCAAGCCCTAACTTGGAATCCTGAAGGGAAGCAGAAAAGTGGAAGGCCAAAGAACACATTACGTCGGAAATAGAATCAGATATGAAAAAGATGAATAACAACTGAAAAGAGTTGAAACGAATTTCCCAGGATAGGGTTGGATGGAGAGCTCTGATGTTGGGCCCATGCCCTTCCACGACGAGTAACAGGCGTAAGTAAGTAACGCACAGTATATACATATAGAAACAAGAGACTAATCAGTTACAATAAAAAAAACAAATAACTTATTTCAGTAGTTGTGATTATAAGTCAATCGAAGTTAGATCACCATAGAAAACCTGTTAACACCAGACAATACTGATAGGTCTTAGGTTTTAATCTCATGAGATGGAATCATAGATGCGTACTGCCACTGAAGAATCCTACAAAAGGACGAAACGGCCATCCATTTATTGATTCATTATTTCATTCTAATGTTATTATATAACTATCCTACATAGAATAACTTCCATTATCTTATATTTACTTTCTTTTTTTTCTTTTTCAGTTCCAATTATACCTAAATTATTATTAAATGAAGAGCTAATAGGAACTAATTGTACCCATGGGCATTGTTCCCATTCAACTATTCATACCATTGATAATTATAATCCACATATTAAAATTGGTATACTATTTACTGTTAAACCACTTGTACAGTTCTTAGTGAATCCATTTGTTGGTCCAATTACTAACAGGTATTGTACAATATATATATATACTACTGATATTATTGAAATGAAAGTAGTATATATGTGTTAGGTTTGATATTTTTATTTTTAGTGTTTAATAAAAAGAAACTAAATTGATGATATTTAAGGAGATGGTGGATAATTTTGATCAAGTTTTTATACTTTGAAATGAATAGTTGGGTTATGGAGCTTTCAATGTTCTTTTGAATGATATGACCAACCTGAAGTTTTTGCTGAGAATCTTATTTAGAAGAACGATGAAAGCTACACAATCAAACTATTTAGATCAGAGAACAAAATTCATCGAAATTGGTGACATTTAGCATAGAAATCAACAGTGACTAGTGGAGTTCAACTGGGTCAGTTGTGAGATAGTAACTCACAGATGAAAATGATGAATGTGTTAAACATTAACACCATCAGATGATGGCTCAATGGTCATGATGTTGCGCGCTCATGGATCATGGATGCGTTTTATTGAGAAGTCTCATACTAAGACGAAACGACCGTTTAGTGTTTCTAGGTTTTCCATAGTGGGATGGTTTACATTGATCCATGAATTCAACTAATAAATTACTACTTACTAACATACTTATGCCTGTTACTAAAAATGGAACATAGACCGTCGACCAGCATTCTTCATCCCACTTCTTCCTGAGTCTTCCTTTCCAGTTCTATCCAATTATTGCTCATTCGTCTCATGTCTGTCTCCACTTCTCGGAGTAATGTGTTCTTTGATCATCCTCTTCTCCTTTGACCTTCAGGATTCCAAAAGATCGGGGCTTGCCTTGTGGCACAGTTAGGAGCTTTCCTCAATATGTGTCTTATCCACTTCCAGCACTTGTTCCTGATTTCTTCCCCCTCTGGGATCTGATTTGTTCACTCCCATAGTATGTTGTTGCTGATAGTGTTTGATCAATGGATCAGAAGTATTTTACGTAGACAACTGTTAATAAACACTTGTATGTTCTGAATGAAAGCTTTCATAGTTCTCCAGGTTTCCACCCAGTACAGTAGAACTGTGTTGACATTTGTATTGAAAATTCTGACGTTGGTGTTAGTGGACAGACAGTTGTTTTGAGTTAGAGATTTTGTTCGATTGTAGATATTCTGCTCTTGCTTTGTCGATCTACGCCTTCACATCTGCATCAGATCTACCATGTTCGTGGTCCTCGGAAACTTGTAAAATTATAGAAAACTAAATTTAAAGAATGTTGATCGATAGATGTTGTTTAGTGACAGTACACTTGGACACTTTCCAGTGATTGTTCATAAGTTTTTCTCCACTTGCATTAGATTACCACGATAGATCATGTATAAACATCAAGGTTCAAATTCTTCATGAAATTCAATATGACCATTTCGGAGGACAACAGGAGAATGATAAGGAAAGGATATAATACGAGACATCTGACGAGATTGAAGAGCTTGATTCTTCAGAACGTTTAGGAATGTTTTAAACAATAGCAACACATATCAAACAAGTTGCTATTTCACAAACACGGTGTATTTTGAAAGGTATGGCGGTTATAGATGGACACTGCTAAGAAGTTGTTCAAAACTCCACAATTTTCACTGGTGGTTTTATGCTAATATGCCAATAATATAACTTTCATATATGCCCCGGTAAAAACCCACCATATCCAAGTGTATAAGTTCAGTTGATTGTAACCATTTAGATAATTTACATTTTAGTTACTTTACAAGACAGTTTAGTTAAAAACTACCATGTAAGTTTTTTAGTACATACATAACCAATGAGTCCCTTAGTTATTTGAATCGTTTCATTGATATGTTAAATCTGCAATTTACTGGTCACTTTTGACAGATTTCTATCCATAACGCGGAGTTCATTCTTTTCGGGACTTATCAATTGATGGAGTTTTGTTCTCTGAGCTGCATGGTTTAGTCGTGGAGCTTTCATCGTGGAGAAGATTTGTAGCTCAGGTGGATGATTTTGGTGGGGTTTTGTTCTCTGACCAAACCATCCAGCTCAGAGAACAAAACCCCACCAGCTTTCATCGTTCTTCTGAACGATATCATCAGCACAAACGTCACGCAGAAGTGAAGTGTTCGAATTTCTCGATATGTGGTTCACAGCTTGTCCTGTACACCTCAATGTTGATTGGATCTTATCCGCCTTAAACGTGTCATTATTTACTACTTTGTTTTGGTTGTACCCCCACCCACTGGTTTGATTTCTGTTCCTATGTTTGTGCATAATTTTCCTGATTGGTTGATAAATTGGACCGATTTCATTGTGCTTGTTGATTGCCGATTGATCTGAGTGCTAAGCTTCTAAAAATTCATTGGTGTTTTTGGAATTTCCTCTATTCAAAATTTCCACATTTTTCCAGTCAAATGAGTGTCCACAGTTGTCCACGTGGATTGATATAAGTAAGGATATGTCTTGGCGTTTGACTGCTAATTGATATTGATGAAGAGGGCGTCCGCTTTGTCCGATATAGTGTTTTTCACAATTCGTACAATTCATTTTGTAGATGATGTTTTGTTTGTCATAGAACACTTTACTTCTACCTGAAGTTTATGCTGATGATGTCGTTAAGATGAACGATGAAACCTTTACGACTAAACCATCTAGCTAAGAGAACAAAACTTTATCAAAATCATCCAACTGAGCTACAAATCTTCTCCACTTATCCGTTGATGATACCTTCACTTGATGAATTGATGTTCACTTCAGGACTCGAACTCAATACTGTTCACCTCAAAAACCCTTATCACATGATCCATTTAGCTACTTTATGAATTCTATTGAAATCTTTCTTATATCCTAATACCTCTATTCATCATGAATCACTATCGTAGTTACTAAAAGTATATCAATATCTATTTTAAGTAGTTGATAAGACCCTGAATCGATTTATTCTTCTGTACCAATCATATTTTATTCAATTACATATGTAAATCAACTATGTCTCATTTTTGTTTGACTATTTGCCTTAGTTACAAATAATATCGGTTATCATGATGATAATCGATAGATTATAACACCTTTAAATGATTGATTAGAATCATCTGAAATGTTTAATAGTCTATATTTCTAAGAGATTCTATAGAACATTTGAATGAAATATCTATGATGAAGATAGGTCATTATATTGATGTCTTACAGTAATGTATTTGCTAAATATAGTAATTGATGTCTAATCAACAGACTAATAGATGAATGAAGAAGATGAACAAAAAGAGAAGACATTGAAGTACTGGACGATCAACTTGTTCAAGTAGTATGGGACTCCATAGCAGTGTGAATCTACGATCCCACTTCTATGATTCGAATCCAGGACTTTTAGTCTCGTACATAAACTTTGGATACTGGTTCAGTGGTCTAGAGGTTAAGCGTTCGTGCATGAGAATGATAGGTTATGGGTTCGAATCTTGAGTGGTGGGATCGTGATTGTATACTGCTTTGGAGTGTCATACTAGTTTTTATTTTACTCATCTAACTTTCATCAATTCACGATAAAGGGTGATAATCTTACAGTGTGACTGGTGGAAAAATGACTCACCCTTAGAATAAGTGAACTCTACTAGTCACAGAATATACTAGGACGGAACATATATGCATACTGTGCGTATTGCCTCGATATTGCCTTAATTTGCAAGCATTATAAGAAAAGATGGATAGTGACCAGCAGCGGAATCTATGACACACTTGCACAAGTAAGTGGCTATCAGGACTCGGTAGCTAAGTGGATAAGGCGGTGGCACTTGAAGCGAACGGTACTGGGTTCGAGTTCCAGAGTAGACATCAACTCTGGGATGCAGGTATATGCAGCTGGCGAATCCAAAATAGGACGAAACGCGCGTCTAACTGGATTCCACCGCTAGCCACTACCTATCCTCGCTTAGGACGGAACGGTTACCCAATGCTTCCTAGCTTACAATGATTCTCTTGCTAAGATCAGTTCATCCTGTAAAATATAGAATTATCAACTTCAATAATCTTCTCCAAACACAATAGTTACTAGTTTCTTTTAGTATACTACTGAATAATTTAAGCTAAACAATCATTAATAATTTCAAAGAGGAAAGTTCAATGGACTCTTATTTCTAGAATAAACAACTATTCAATACTTCCTAATTGTTCAGTGATTATCAACATAGGATTGTAAAGATTGTTGAATTTCATTAAGATCATGAACTGATCAATTTTAGACTACCATTGAGGACCTAAAAGCAATAGACGGTCGTTTCGTCTTACTATGAGACTCTTCAACAGTGCGCATTCACCATCTCACACTCAGGACTTGAACCCAAGGTCATCGGTGCCATGTGCAATTACTCATCGAACAAAATGGAAGATGATCGATCGTACAATATCATAAACTGATGAAAGTTAATACATTAACATTATTGGATACCAATCAAGTATTCATTGATTAATATCAGATGGGTTTTGTGGATATTGTAGTAATTTCAATGGTTAAGATCATGAGTCATTTGAAGGTAGACCACCATAGAAAACCTGGAAGCACTGGACAGCTGTTTCGTCCTATTGTGGGACTCCTCAGCAGTGCGTATCTACGAACTCGCCCCCTCGCGATTCTAACCCAGGACCTACTGGTTTCGCGCGCGAGCACTTAGCCACAAGACCACTGAGCCGGCATCCTACGCTGTTGATGTCTAACTTCAACTAATCCACGAAATTAAGCAACACATCTACCATTGTCTTCAGTGAGTTACTATCTCACAACAGACCTAATTGAACTCCACTGGTCACTACGTCTCACTTGAACTCCAGGATATACCTCTTGAAGCCAGTCATTAGTAGTAGATGGAAGTTGACACATTAACATTATTGGATATCGTTCACGGATTCAGTGATTGTTTATAAAGTCAACTTTCTTTATATATCATTGTAATCCATGAATTTGTTTGTTTATTTTTTGTTGAATAGAATTGGTTATAGTATTCCAATGTTTACTGGATTCATACTCTTGTTTATATCAATAATTAGTAAGTTTCCATTTAGATTTCTATCGTAGTCTCTTATATATGCATACGCATTTGTAATGTTATAATTGAATACATAAGTCAATTGAAGCTTCATTTGGTATTGTTTGCTTGTATGTTTTCATTATTGTTTAGGACTGTAATTGATGATCAGTCTGTTGTTGGTATATGTGTGCATCATGTGTGGATTGCTTTGATGTTGCTTTAATTCACAAGAATTTTATGAGTAGAGATAGATAGTGACTAGTAGTGGAATCCAGAACACTCTGGATGTAGGTGCATCCTAGAGTTGATATACACTCTGAAATTCAAACCCAGTACCAATAGCGTTTGAAGTGAAAGGTACTACGTTCGAGTCCCAGTGTGAATACCAATTCGGGTGCAGGTACACCCAGTTGATGAGTCCCGAATAGAACGAAACGCGCGACCTAGATCCCACTACTAATCACCATCCATATTTGATTATGTATATAATTCGATAGAATTGATCAAGGTGAAATGAATTTCACTGGATTATTATTGGCGGTGTTATTGGTTGTAGTGACAAAAACAGTGATGGGAGTATTAGTGGAATTAATAGGAAACTTCGTAGGGTTAACTGAATTTTGTTTTATACAAAATTAAAGAGTACCATAGTATAGATGAAAACTATGGATTAACTACATTACTTGTACATCGTCCTTCATTTGTTCTGCACGTGTTTTATGATACTTTCAATTCTGTTGTTATTAGAATCGTTCATTATTTCTCTTCTTACTCACTTCAATTCAATCTTCTGCTGGCAGGTATTCCTATTTCCTTCCTTCCTTCCTTACTTACTTACTTGCGCCTGTTACTCCTAACGGAGCATAGACCGCCGACCAGCATTCTCTATCCCACTCCGCCCTGGGCCTTCCTTTCTAGTTCAATCCAATTCTTGTTCATTCGTCTCATGTCTATCTCTATTTCCCTGCGTAATGTGTTCTTTGGTCTTCCTCTTCTCTTTTGGCTTTGAGGATTCCATGTGAGGGCTTTCCTTGTGACGCAATTGGGTGCTTTCCTCAATATATATCTTATACATTTCAGGCCCTTCTTCCTGATTTCTTCCTCCATTGGGATCTAGTTTGTTCTTTCTAACAGTACGTTGTTGCTAATAGTGTCCGGTCAACGGATCCGAAGTATTTTGTGTAGACAACTGTTCATAAACACCTGTATCTTCTGAATGATGACTCTCATTGTTCTCCAGGTTTCCGCCCCATACAGTAGAACTGTGTTGACATTTGTATTGAAAATTCCGACTTTGATATTAGTTATCTATTCCTATTTTTTTCGATTATTACTATATATTACTTATGTCTATCAATATAAGTAGTATAGAAACCATAAAACTTTTAATACACATGTTTTAAACAAGATCACATTGAATTCTTTATAATAAAACAATCTTTACTTTATTTAATCAATAGATGATTTGTTCATTTCATTATTTTATTATAGTTTTTGCTTTTGAAACAAATTTCTACATTTTATTGATTGCCAGAGCTATTCAAGGTGTTGGATCAGCATGTTCATCTGTATCCGGTAAGTTATATACATTATGGAATATAGACATGGTAAAAATTCTGTTGAGGAACAGTATTGGGGTCTTACTGGAATATCTGAAGTTGGTTAGTCGGTAGAAATTAGCGTAGCCGCACCGCGGTCAACAATAAATTCATATCATAGATTTCGTTGAATCTACATAATCATTGAAACATTTAATGAGGCACTGAATATATCTCTTTTTCAATTATGAGATTATTGTCAGAAAGGAGTTTTGTGACGATTTGTAGTCATTTAATAGTTGAATTCATGAATTGATGAATGTTAGGCCACCATAGAAAACCCGAAATCAGTAGATGTCTGTCTCGTCTTAGTATAAGACTTCTTAATAGAACGCATTCACGATCCAAGAACGCTTAACATCATAACCATTGAGCCATCATCTGATGGTGTTAATGTTTAACTTCAACTAATCGACGAAATTTTCATCAGTGAGTTACTATCTCACAACTGACCCAGTTGAACTCCTCTGGTCACTGCATAGTATAAGACTCGTCAGTGGCAGTGCACATACATGTTCCCATACGAAAGATTTGGATTCAGGACCTTCGATTCCGCTCGCCGTCGCTTAAACACCAGTATATTTACACTCCAAATGTACTTTAATAGTTCTATAACACTCACATTTCATTTTACATCTTCTGTACAATGTATACATATGATGTTATTTTGCACTGATATAGAATGGATCAAGTAAGACTAGCATGGATATATAGAACGTGTGTTTCGTCCCATTTGTGACTCGTCAGTTAATATTCTCTCCATGACTCGAACACAGAGCTGTTTACTTTAAACTTTATTGCATTATCTAACTAGCTAATGAGTTCAAATAACTACTCATTGGTGTAATAAGTATGAGATTTAATTCAGCTTCAAATAATTTTAATTATTCCCTTGCTCATTGTTATATCTTGTGACCGCCAATTAGAGAGCAGTGACTTATCGATCGAATCAATAACGCGTAAACCCGTATGAGCAGCCTAGAGTTCTGATTGGCCCTGTTTTCTACCTAGCCCAGCCACTTAACTCCAGAACACAAGTCTCAACTTCTGCGATGTGAATCATTATATTTCAAACATACAATAGTAATATACGTTTAGTATTAGTCCATCAATAGATTCCAAAAGTTACCATTCATTATACTGGTCGGAACATAACACTAATATTCTTTGCTGAAATTTGATCAGTCTTTGTTAATCTCACAAATAGGATGAAATATGCGTTTTCATTTGCATTACTAACCATATCCCATCTATTCTATATCAACAACTTATATTAAAATGGCTATATTAAAGTGATCAGTACAGGTTTTGTTCATAAGCTATTTATGTGTATATATTTCAGTTTTCTAAAAGGTACTTAAGCGATTATCTCACAACAATCAGTGCCAGCTTGAGATATTCAAACAAATGTATCGACTGAATGATAACCATCGGATGGTGGCTCAGTAGTTTAAAGGTTAAGCGTTCGTGAGCGAGATTGTTATGTCATACGTTCGAATCTCATGAGGCGGAGGAAGAGTCTCATACTAGTGCATCAGTGTTAGTAGACTATATGATTAGAAAAGAAATAATGATTAAGCAGAATGGAACGTGTCAGTTAATTTTAAACCTCAATATTTAAGTGAAGAAACATTTTGAGTATATATGTGCTATTCAGAATGATCATAAGTTATACTACCCTACATCTCTAACCATTAATGATCATAATAGTACAGAACCAAATCAGATTATTTGAACCTAATTAGACGGCTCAGTTCAATCGTTAGTGTTTTCATGAATTGATCCCACGTTATGATATGGGAGTTCTTAGCTTACAACCAACCTACACTTATGCAAGGAAACTTTGCTTATTCAGGGAGATCATGCTTATGTATACAGAATACATCTCCACATTTCTATTGATAATGACAGTCTTATTAAGAGGGGTAATCGTGTTTTTTTTTCTTAAACTACTGAATAAGTATAACTCTTGATAAATTTGTCAACCTTCCTAAATAGTAAATAGGTGAAGACAATTAATTATAATCATCATATACAAACTATTCAACAACTCATATGACACCTCATTCAATCAACTTTACGAAGAGAAAGATACATTGAGTACTATAAACAGAGATGATGGTGGTTAGCAGTGAAATCCACGATATGTGTTTCGACCTAGTTAAGACTCATCAGCTCCATTCCAAAGCTGATATCCACTTTGAGAGATTGATCAATTACAATCCTAAACAGACTTAAACCAATATATCAATGAATGATATTGAATGTTATTTTCAAGTTTAGACATTTAAGAATGAGATCAAGGTAAATATTGACAAAATGATAATAGTGAATGGATCATTCAGTTGTTGTTGTTGTTGTTGTTTATATTACTTCTTATAATATAGGAATGGGAATGTTAGCCACTTATTATATTGACGAAACAGAACGAGGTCGTGCATTTGCTATTGCTTTAAGTGGACTTGCTATAGGGTTATTAAGTAAGTAAATCTATATTTATAATAATGTTAATGAAAGTAATGTAATATGTTGTCTAGTAAATTCAATATAACGAATGGCGTTTCAATTATTACAGTTATACTGTAAGATAGAAACTTAAAACACCAACATTCATTCATCAATTAAGCTACCCGATAGTCGCTAAACACAAAGACTGACACAACAAGCCAGGTCGACAAAGACTTAAACAGATAGATAGATAGATAGATAGATAGATAGATAGATAGATAGATAGATAGATAGATAGATAGATAGATAGATAGATAGATAGATAGATAGATAGATAGATAGATAGATAGATAGATAGATAGATAGATAGATAGATAGATAGATAGATAGATAGATAGATAGATAGATAGATAGATAGATAGATAGATAGATAGATAGATAGATAGATAGATAGATAGATAGATAGATAGATAGATAGATAGATAGATAGATAGATAGATAGATAGATAGATAGATAGATAGATAGATAGATAGATAGATAGATAGATAGATAGATAGATAGATAGATAGATAGATAGATAGATAGATAGATAGATAGATAGATAGATAGATAGATAGATAGATAGATAGATAGATAGATAGATAGATAGATAGATAGATAGATAGATAGATAGATAGATAGATAGATAGATAGATAGATAGATAGATAGATAGATAGATAGATAGATAGATAGATAGATAGATAGATAGATAGATAGATAGATAGATAGATAGATAGATAGATAGATAGATAGATAGATAGATAGATAGATAGATAGATAGATAGATAGATAGATAGATAGATAGATAGATAGATAGATAGATAGATAGATAGATAGATAGATAGATAGATAGATAGATAGATAGATAGATAGATAGATAGATAGATAGATAGATAGATAGATAGATAGATAGATAGATAGATAGTTAGATAGATAGATAGATAGATAGATAGATAGGTTGATTAATTGATTGATTGATTAATTTCCTAATTACATTCTGTGAACTGTCGCGTCTACAGAACCGTGTTTCCATCAACATACATGATGAAGTCACTTTACTCCCTCCATAGAAACATCAAATTGTTACCTGATTCTCCATTACCTAATATGTATTTTAGATAATTCAGTCGGGATTTTCCCGAAGTGTTTGTAAACAATCATTTCAATTCATACATCAAAACAGACTAATTCTTAGTTGTATATATTGTGCTTCCTTTTTTCAAGTTGGTGCCCCCTATGGAGGAATTACATATCAGTTTATAAGTAAACAAGCACCATTTCTCATTCTGGCTAGTATAACTGTTGTTGATGGAAGTAAGTTGAAGTTATCTATTATGATTTGACTTAAATGTATATAAACATACATAAGATATTAATCTTTCACTAACTATTCATAGTTGAATGAAAAAGGATATGGAAACTAGAAAGTACAATTTGTAATGTTGCATAATAGAATAAGTATTTATATAAAATTCATAAATGATCATAGTATATTGTGTGCTACTGATATTGACAGATATAAGTAGTATGTTAGTCAGTTAACTACAACGTAGGACCAGGCACATATATTCATCGGTCCAAGTTGCCATACCTCATTAGCACAACAAGATGAACACCGAATTCATAGAATTAGTTAATTCAGTGGTGGTAATATATAAAAGAGAGACCGCATATAAGGATATAGCACAGGGAGAAAGGTTTAGTTCGTAGAAAGAAAGGTATGAAGCGATTCTAATCTGATGGTTCAATGGAAGACAGAGAGTGTATACACCTACGCCATTGTGATAGATTCTGAGCCATGTCACCAGGAGTCTCCAACCATTGGCTGCAATAGTCGCGCAGACCCTAACCAAGTAGTCTACATCTACCAACATGGTTCAGACTAGAAGTTAGTGACTTCATGGACTGACGCCACGTTTTGGTATGTAGTATGTAATACCGATCGAAAATGGAGTGCCTGGCATCAAAAAGTTGGTAAAAGTGAAGAGAATGAGAATAGACAGTGATTAATATGGAAATGATGGAATAATCAAATTTACAAATGAATTATTCAATGTATGGTTGTTAGCTTTTATCAACATATTATGTAATGTTATATTGAAATACATTTGATTATCATGGCACATATGTTCTCATTCATTAGAATAGAATAAAATCTATATGATGAAGATGATGTAATCAGAAGATAATTCAAATAGCTGTTGAATGATTATGGTTTAATATTACGATAAGTATCTGAAATGGCTACATAAATGCAAATAGTGATAATCTTGTCCATTCTAGAATATTTCACACTGGTACAACCTTCATAAATTCTAAGTAACCACCATCACTAACAAGAATCAGTTCAAATGTTCATTTACGATTGTAGAATGATCATAAGGTATTGTAAAGATTACCAAATGTTCATAATGTACATCAAGAACTGATACTACTTAGAAAGAAGATCAAATATCAGGCAGTATTGGACAATCGTTTCGGCTTGATACATCTAATGCTCTACCGACGTGAATGTCTCGCGAGCTAGACTGAAAGGGTTAGACCTAATTCACAGTCAGAGGTATGAATACACAATGCTGAGGAGTATCATGATTTACTTACTTACTTACTTACTTACTTACTTACTTACTTACTTACTTACTTACTTACTTACTTACTTACTTACTTACTTACTTACTTACTTACTTACTTACTTACTTACTTACTTACTTACTTACTTACTTACTTACTTACTTACTTACTTACTTACTTACTTACTTACTTACTTACTTACTTACTTACTTACTTACTTACTTACTTACTTACTTACTTACTTACTTACTTACTTACTTACTTACTTACTTACTTACTTACTTACTTACTTACTTACTTACTTACTTACTTACTTACTTACTTACTTACTTACTTACTTACTTACTTACTTACTTACTTACTTACTTACTTACTTACTTACTTACTTACTTACTTACTTACTTACTTACTTACTTACTTACTTACTTACTTACTTACTTACTTACTTACTTACTTACTTACTTACTTACTTACTTACTTACTTACTTACTTACTTACTTACTTACTTACTTACTTACTTACTTACTTACTTACTTACTTACTTACTTACTTACTTACTTACTTACTTACTTACTAACGCCTGTTACTCTTCTTAGAGGATCATAGATCGTCAATCAGGATTCTTCATCCAACTATGGTTCTGAACAGTCTTTTCCAGTTGTTGAATACATTAACTCCTCTATAAATAATTTTGTTCATATTTGTATTTGTATAATTCTGTTTATATCAATCACATTGCGTTATTGTATTTATTTCCAACATTTAGTTCTACAACTGTTAGTCTTGAAACCAAAGATTCAACGTGAAAGTCAAGAAGGTTCAAAATTAACTGAATTGTTAAAAGATCCATATATTCTAGTAGCAGCTGGTTAGTTTATGTTTAATTAGTTCAATATTTATATCAGAAGGGAGTTTTGTGGATATTACAGTAATTTGAATGGTTGAGATCACTAGTCAACTGAAGTTAGACCACCGTGGAAAACCTGGAAGCACTGAATCGCCATTTCATTTTATTGTAGGGCTCTTCAGTGGCAGTGGGCATCTACAATCCCGCCTCGTGAAATTCGAATCGGATCTGTTGTGAGATATTAATTCACTGGTGACAATGGTGGATGTGTCGCTCAATTTCGTGGATTAGTTGAAGTTAGACATTAACACCGTTGGATGCCGGGCAGTTCAATGGTCTAGTGGTTAAGCGCTCGCGCGCGAGACTGATAGGCCCTGAGTTCGAATCTCGCAAGGGGAGAGATCGTGGATGCGCACTGCTGAGGAGTCCCACAATAGGACAAAAAAGCGGTCCAGTGCTCCCAGGTTTTTCACGGTGGTCTAGCTTCAATTGACTCATGATCTAAACCATTGAAAGTTTAATATTTGTTGACATAATCCTTTTTGAGATTAAATATAACACATACTACTTATTAATATATTAATTATAAGTCATTTATTTTTTATTTTATGTGATCAAAGCTTTGTCTCAAAACAGCTGAGAAAAACAGATATTGACATTATTCTATGAAGTTATTAGTTGTTTGTCTAAGCCATAATGATGTATCCAGATTGTTTAACTGCGGTTCAGGATAGTCACAGGGAAGATGATCAATGAGTTATTCATTTTCCCCTCTATCATGAGTTTCGACATTCTTTCCTAAAAAGTGTTAAACTCTTCCTGACCAAGATAATTTGTAGTGTTGGTGCCATTGTTACCCGAGAACTGATGATCTCATCCGCTTAGCTGAATTTACTTTTAAATGAGGCCATAACACAATTGTAGAAGTAATAGGATATCATAGAAGAAACGTATGAAGGCAGTCCTCAAGAGGTCCCTAGACAACAGGATCCAAATCACTAATCCACATCCTACTTACCCTGTAGTCCTAAAAAAGTGACGAGCTATTACCCATCACACATGGGTACTCTGGATTATATCACCCTTATTGAGACGTTGTCACTGAGCCGACAGTGATTATACTCACGAAACACAGGTTCCAGTTAACTGTAGAAACATAAGTCCGTGTTCCCTCTACATCCACATAAACTTAGATAAGAATCTATTCTTTCGAGTAAACAAAATTTAATCATGAAAATCCAAAAGTAACCATACTCTTATTAAGACTGCATGTCATCTCTAGACACTGGATGGGGGTATGATTTTTTAACCTACTCCATCGAAAAGATTCAGGCTTAACTTGATCACACTTAACCACCTCGATGACTTTCAGTACAACTATGATGAATCTACATCAGATCTGTAGACAGTTCTTAATACCATTGTTATATCTCTCGACAGAATAAGAGCATTCGTTATGTGACCATGCTCGTATAAGAAATTCAGTTTGATGTGTACAATTGTTGTGAATAGACAAAGTGATCGCTGACAGGATTAACAAGACTGTGACAGCAGTTGATCAGAAAGAACCACATGAAGGTCATCATCAGAAACTATAGCTTCTGTAAGTGTAGCCGCGCACTCAATCAAAGATAGAATACACTTCACTTATTTATTAATATTTGAACACATAAATATTGGAACAATGGGGAGCTGAGTACATATAGGCAACAAAAATCACTTGATTTGTGAGTGGGCTGCGATACTGCTCGGATGCCTAGACCGAAACAGGTGGGTTTCTTACAGAGCCACACCCAGAGCCTTAGACCTAAAGGTCTGATCCAGTGAAATAACTTAAGGAGATGTAGTCCCATGGTAGTCGGTCACTAGCGGTTGTTTCAAACGCCATTTGTTCCCTCAGAAGGCTTGAGCCCATGTACACTATTGGTTTGGAATCAGGGTCTACCGACTCCCCTAGGTGGATCGTCCATATCTACCAACGCGATTAAAGCTCCGGACATGAGCTTTTCGTCCTCTCAATTTCATAAACGACACCCCCCATTTGCGAGAACTCAGTGAGTAGGACTTCTTTGGCAGTGGTTGTATGCACGTGGCCATGTAAGAGCATTTCGAGAGAGAGAGAGAGAGAGAGAGAGCTGACTCTCTTCACCCTCAACCGTACCAGAGCATTTGAAGGCTGATACATTTTACTCCTGTTGGATATACCGACAATCTTAAGGTAATTGATATTCTCAGTCTTTCATTCAATTATTTCTTCTCTTCATTTTATTTTATATACATTAAGGTTCAATTACATTTGGTAATCTTGGTATGTCTGTATTAGAACCAACTTTACCATTATGGATGAAAACTAGAATGAATTCTACAGAATGGCAACAAGGTATTGCATTTCTACCAGCTAGTTTATCATATTTAGTTGGTACAAATATATTTGGACCAATTGCACATAGAATTGGTAGTGGATATAGTGCAGGTTTAGGTTTATTAATTACTACTGGATGTTTAATAGCAGTAAGTTTGTTGTTTTAATGGAATTTTATAACTAATTGACTAATAAATTCACTCGATATTGTTTGGCCTGTATCTTCCCATTGAGATTTAAGACTGCAATTGATCAGTCTATTATTGACATATGTGCATATTGTGCGTATGCCTCAATATTGCCTTAATTCACAAGCTTTTTTTGTAAGCAATGATGGATAGTGGTTAGCAGTGAAATCCAGTTTGACGAGCGTTTCGTCTTATTTGGGACTCGTCAGCTGGATGTACTTGCATCTGAGTTGATGTTCACTCTGAGACTCGAACCCAGTACCATTCGCTTCAAACGTCATAGTGTTATCCACCCTGCTACTGAATTCTGGTAGCCACTTGCCTGTGCAATTGACTAATAGTAGAATAATGGTAGATTTTAATGTTGATTCATTCAATGAGCTTCTGTCTAGTTAGAACGTGAACAATGGCAAATGGATAAACTTTCTATTATTCACTATTCTCTATTGTCATCCTGCGATTGATCAATCTCTTGTTGGCATATGTACTTTCTGTGTGGATCACCTCAATATAGCCCTAATTCATAAGCATTGGATGTAAAGATGAATAGTGACAAGCAGTGGAATCTAGGACACGCATTTCGTCCTATTTGGGACGAGTCAACTGGATATATCTGAATCTCAGAGTTGATGTTTACTCTGAGACTTGAACTCAGTACGATTCGCTTCAAACAACATTGCGTTATTCACTTAGCTACTGAGTCCTATATATTAGTCTAAATATTAGTAATATGTCTATAAACGACGCTAAAGTTACCTATTTCCTTTTCTACTTACACCTGTTCGCCCTCATGGTGGAACAGTGGCCATTCACCAAGATTATCCATCGAACTCTGTCCTGGACAGTCTTTTCGAGTTGTTTCTAGTTACTATTTATCCAATTTTCGGACCAGTGTATTATTTAGCCTTCCTCTTTTCCATTTTCGTTCAGGAAGAGGAACCGCTAAAGTGACTCTGAAAAAATCTACAGACTTATTAGGATCAAGGATCGATCATTAATTATTGTGAATAACTATGATTGAAATTAACAGATAACGTTTTCATTGAGAACTGGCATCAACCAAAATGTTCGACATGTTATTCGACCACATGAACACAAACAAGGCTTGTTATCTTTAATACCATTGATTCGTCTATAAATTATGATCTTGACTTTTTTGTGTTCACAATCAATTTATAAGTAGTACAAAACTGACTGATAGGTCTATAGTTAATTAAATACAATTTGAAGACAGTAAACATATCATAGCAGTAATAGAATTCATGAGTCAATTGAAGCCAGACTATCATGGAAAAATTGGAAGCCCTGTACAGCCGTCTAGTTTTAGTATGGGACTCATCAGTAGTGCTCATCCACGATCTCACACGCAAGTTTTAGATAGAATTCTAAACTAAATTTGTCTGTTTGATCACTTCAGCTATCATTTACGCACTAGTGACTGGCTTCAAGATATATTTCCTGGAGTTCTTGTGAGAAGCAGTGATCAGTGGAGTTCAACCGTGTCTGTTGTGAAGCAGGTACTCACTGAAGGGTCCATCTCTGCTCTCTATTTAGATACATCCATCTAACTGTTCAGTACAAATCTTATTAATATCTGTCTAATGTACTTGGATTTTTTAAGAATAGTTAAAAGATGACTGTTATGTTCTTAGGTTATACAATTGCCAATTAAGATACATTGACTTCTACAGCCAAACTAATGACGCATGCACCAGTACAGTCAGCCTAGGTCTCTGAATGATCTTTTTTCCGCCTGTTAAGTTTAGAACATCAATCTCAGCCTCCACTATAGGAATCGTATAGTTCAGATATAATGACTGTAATCATTAGACTAGGCATAACTTAAGAACAGTATATCGTATAATAACAGTCTATAGATCAAATGAAAGCTTATAATAAGAGGAATATGAATATACACATATAATGTAGTTACTTAATAATCCTACAATATGAAGATCTGTACAATATTAGTCCACAAATAGATCCTAGCAGTTACCGTTCGTTTAGTCTTCTTTTTATCTCAACCTTATTAAGTCTGGACTACAGTACAATAAAAACGCATGAAATAACAGTTACTATGCTTAAATGAAATAGACTTTTTTATTCTTTAGAAACATTCGACTGTTTTTCATGTTCCCAGGTACCATTTACAAAACGAATGGAACATTTAATAGCACCTATGTTCGGTTTGGGATTTGCTGTTGGTAAGTGAGTAGTATTATAAGTAGTATTAATGGTGTATTGATCATTTTATTAAATGTGAATAGATAATATCATATCAATGTAATTTGTTTGCAACCAATGAAACTATATGTTCATATATGACATCAAATGAACAGAAATTTGAATTATAAATGGAGTATGGGTTTTCTTAATGAAAACAAAACCTAATTATGCAATTTTTCTTTACCCTAGGCTATGAATAACGCATTAAACGCTTGGATGAGAGTTTACGAATCAGAAGTTCGATACTCTTCTGGTAACGATAGATTTCTTGGAAGGAAATGATCTCAGGTTTGTATCTATGTGGGTTCTTCACACCTTTGGTAGTCGAGGCGCTATTGAGCTCAGCCATGGTGGCCAGCTGCTTACAAGGCGCCTTACCTCCGGTCGATTAGCGAACAGTCAGCTTAATACTTACCATTCCAAAACAATGAGCGACGATGACTATCCACAGATAACTTAAGAATTCTAAAAGCTAACCTCATGAAGTGATGCAAATATTACTAACAGTTTATATGATCAATGAACCAGATAAGCTCAATAATCCTCCCTACTTAAACTTGTCTTCAAAAGACAACTCTACTCATATGATTATCTTCTTTCAGTATAGTGAAAATTCCTATTTTCAACATGTAATAAAAGGAATGAATAGAACGAGAAAAAATTACTTTTCATTTAGTTTTTCATCATAGCTCTAGAGTAATATGTGTTTGTAAAAATTGTAATGTATACTACTTATGTTTGCAGATATAAGTAGTATATAGTATCAGTCGGTAGTGGAATACCTGTCGATAGAAGATTATAAAGATTGAAATGAAGAGAAGAGACAAAGCGACTGAAGGCAATCAAGATAATTATAGGAATGAAGAAATAATGAAACATTCAAGAGACAATTCAAAGAACATGTGCACATGATGTATTTCATGTTGATGTCAGTAGGCATTGAACAATAAGTTAGTTTTATCTAATTGAGTTCCCATTCACTACACAATGAAATAATATTCACCAGGAATTTGTGTTGCGTAATAACTATATGATGTCGCAGTGCATACATAGAATAATATTACTGCAAATTGCTATGGAGTTCCTGAGAAGATTGCCAATATTATCCGGAACTCATACGACGGACCACAGTGCAAAGTCGTGCATAGAAGACAGCTGACAGATGCATTCCAAGTAAGGACCGGTGTCAGACAAGGATGTTTACTCTCCCTCTTCCTCTTTCTTCTGGTGGTCGACTGGATTATGAAGACCTCGACATCAGAGGGAAAACACGGAATACAACGGACAACTCAGAACCAATTAGATGATTTGGACTTCAAAGTTGACCTAGCCGTCGTATCCAATACACACGAACAAATGTAGATAAAGACAGCTAGTGTAGCAGCAGCTGAAGAGGAAATTAGGAAAAGACGATGGAAATGGATAGGATGTATATTACGGAAATCATCAAACTGCATCACGAGACAAGTGTCAACTTGGAATCCTGAAGGGAAGACGAAAAGTGGAAGACCAAAGAACACATTACATCGGGAAATAGAAGCAGATATGAAAAGGATGGATAACAAATGGAAAGATCTGGAAAGGATTGACCAGGACAGGGTTGGATGGAGAGTGCTGGTGGGCGGCCTATACTCCTCCACGGGGAGTAACAGGCGTGAGTATTATTGTAAACTTTACATACATCTATTAGTGTAGAGCCATGATGAAGAACCGATTGAAAAGAAATCCCCTCGTTCTATTTGTTTCTTTTTTAATCCTTTTTTGTTTGCTCAAGGTATGTAAAAAGATAATAAGCTGGAAATTAGACAATAATTATGTTAGTACTGTGATGTGTACTACTTATGTCGATAGATATAAGTAGTATGTAACACTAATCGAAAGTGAAAATGCTAGACGGCGGAAGATTGAGAAGATCAAACAGATAGTGATTGATATGGAACAACCAATTCTGAGACAATTGATGAACATATTGCAAATAATGTATTCAACGTATGGTGTTCATATTCTAGCAAAGAACACTGTAATTCTGTATACAAATACATTCGATTGTCTCCACTTTTGCTCTTGTTCACTGTAGTGTTAACATTCATGCCACATACTTAACAAATATGTACCTGGAAGGGAAATCTCGAATCGCTTCAATGCGGATATATATCACTCTTCTACACTAAAATATGATTTCATATTTCAATTCCATTGTTGTCTTTCTTCTTATTTTTGGTTTATTTAGGCATGGTTGATTCATCAATGATGCCAATCATGGGTTATTTAGTAGACTTAAGACATGTTGCAGTCTATGGAAGTGTTTATGCTATTGCAGATGTGGCATTTTGTCTTTCATTTGTAATTGGTATGTTAATTGATGTTTGTCATATCTTTTTATAATAAAAAAAACTAATTTTCATTTTCAATAGTTGAAATCATAAATCAATTGAAGCTAGACGATCATGGAAAACCTGAAAGCATTGGACGGCCATTTCGTCCTGGTATGGGACTCCTCAGGAGTGCGCATCCACGATCTCGACCCCCTCAATAGTGGTCTAACTCCAATTGACTCATGGTTTTAACTATTGAAGTTTCTGAAATCTCCACAAAACCCCTTCTGATAATTTTCATTTTGTTGAAGCGACCTACTTTGAATCTGGATGGTTTATTCTTGAAGGTATCCTTTTCTTACTGGATGATATCAGTCTTAAGTGAATGACAAACTTCTTCAAATGGTAAACTATAGATTTGTTTAATTAAAGAGGGAGAGTGTATTTGTAAAATCTCAGCGAAAGAATTTGAAGTAAATCCAACGTTTCGCCTGGCAATCTGGTCCAAGCTTTTTCAAGGAATAGATTGCCAGGCGAAACGTTGGATTTACTTCAAATTCTTTCGCTGAGATTTTACAAATACACTCTTCATCTTTAATGTCTCACATTAACTTGGCGCTCAAATACTGTGAAACTATTTGATCAAATGCAGACGAACGTTTTTATTTATAGATTTGTTAGTTTGAGTACCCTCTGCATGTGAAAGGACAAGATCGGATTCGTTTAGGAAAATTCAGAAGTACAAGTTACTAGTCACTGAAACCAATAGAAATAATCGAACTTTGAGTATCATGAATAGTTAAATGTGAATAAAGTAGGGATGTATTACTTCATGTATCCGATACCAGTAAATTAATGTGTCAAGTATATTAAATCTACATTCGAAAATTCCTTGTTCTTTTTGTACATTTTGTACTACTTTTATAAAATTAAGTAGTTCGAATAATTAGAATTATTTTTTGTCTGTATTCACTTAGTGTTGTTTGTTTGTATCTTCCCATTGATGTTTAGGACTGTAATTGATCAGTCTGTTATTGGCGTATGTGTATACTGTGCATATTGTCTCGATATTACCTTAAGTCACAAGCATTATATGAAAAGATAGATAGTGACTAGTAGTGGAATCCAGAACGTGTGTTTCATCCTGATTGAGACTCGTCAGATGGATTTATCTGCATCCCACAATTGATGTTCATTATGAAATTCAAACATAGTACCGTTCGCTTCACTTAGCTATTGAATTTTGACTGACACTAGTGTGTGCAATGTGGTGAAGTTTAAATTTGTTTAGTTATGTAGAGAGACCCATTCAGATATTTAACAAAGAAAGGAGTAGAATGAGGAAATATTTCTTTTCAATCGGTTTTCATCATGACCCTACAACAATAGCGGAATAATATTGGTCGAATAGTGAATTTACATAATCGTTTGTGAAATTAGAACATCAACTCACAGAAATAATGGACCGAATAATGTTAGACTACTAATAAAATCCAACAAGTACCAAATGGCCGTTTTAGTATGGGACTCTTCGACAGTGCGTAACTACAACATCCTAGCCAGAAACCCGATCCAGGACCTTCGGTCTCGCATGTGAACACTTGACTTCTAGACCACTGAGTTGGTATTCAACATTTCCGAATCGGGGGTGTGCATTGTTGAGGGGTCCCACAATTAGATGTAATGACCATCCAGCGCTTCCAGGTTTTCCATGATGGTCTAGCTTCAATTGATTTGTGATCCCAACTATCAAATTACTACAATTTTTACAAACCCCCCCCCTTTTCATGAGTATATTTTATTAGAAATTCATATTCCTGTTGTTACATATCTTTTTATATTTTTGAATAGGACCAATTGTTGGTGCTGTACTGGTCAAATTCTTAGGTTTTAATTGGTAAGCCTATCGCTTAACAATTTGGTTTTATTAGATAGATGTTGAAATAGAATAATTTTGATGGAGTCTTGTTCTTTGAGCTGGATGATTCAGTAGTGAAGCTTTCATGGTTCTTCTGAACAACATTATCATCACAAGTAGAACTGAAGTTTGTGCTGATGATGTTGTTCAGAAGAACCATGACAGCTCCACGACTGAACCATCCAGCTCAAAGAACAAAACTCTATCAAATCATCTGAGCTACAAATCTTCTCCATCATCTCAAAATAGAATAATTATTGTGAAAATAATGTATTTTTTATCAACAATTGATAACCAGAAGTGATTGAACAGTTGACTAATTTTAATATGAGGTTTCTCATAAGTGCGGATCCGTATTCTTAATACGGACCATGAACAAAAGACCTCCAGGTCATAGTGTAAGTGATTACTGTGTACTAGCATTATTATTGTTTACAATTTGAATGGATTTATAGGGTATCAACATTGTTGGTATTTGTGTTGTACTGTATTATTGCAGCCTAATTGATTCATTTGATAAATCATACATCATCTAAGGATATAAAACTGATCCGTCTACTTGAGATATGAACCTTTAAAACTACGAATACTATTCGTTTTGTTAAAACGAAACCACCTCCTGACTAATTCAACATCTTTTACATCGATCGAATATACTCATACATATATATTCTCACGAACTGATATGACTTTCAGTCAATGTTAGATGTTTGGAAGCAGTCAATAATGATTCATGACTAATTTAAGGTTTTACACTACTTATTTATTTATTTTAACACATATATACTGGTACGAAGGAGCATCAAATACATATGCGCCACACAAGTAACCTGATTTATGAGTGAGCTGTGACACTGCTCGAGTGCCCGAACCGAAACAGGTGGTTTTCCTGGGGGGGACACCTGGAGCCTTCGACCTAAAGGTCTGATCCACAAGGCAGTGGAGGAACGTAATGAGATGCGGTCCCATGAAAGCCGATAGCCAAGAATAAGTTCATACTACAGTTGTTTTCTTAGGATCCTGGAATCTATGTGCACCATTGGTTTGGTATCTCGGCTTTCCAACCGCCCTAAGTGCACCCTTCATATCCACGAGGCCGGTTAAAGCAACAGACATTCACTTTTCGTTCTCTCAATTTCGTAAACAGCACCTTTGCTGCCAAAAGGCAGTGAGTACGACTTCCGTGACAGTAACTGTATACACTTGGCCATGTGAGAGTATTTCCAAAGGGAGAGCCGACTCTCCTCACTCACGACCGTACCAGGGCAGTCGATACCCTTTAACAAGAATCATCTACATATAAAATGATAAGTAATAGGGCATTTCATAAGATTACTCAAATATTTTTCAACAATTCTAAAATCTTACTAGAAACGATCATCTCAAGCTCGGCGAGACTAGAATTTATGGGCGAACCAAACAGGCATAAAATAACACATCTAGGATTTTGGTGAGAAATTCATTCATCCATTTGGTTAAATAGAGTATTGACATTATAACTGATGTCATTTCGTGGTGAAAACCCAAAATGTAGTTCCTAACCTTAACCATCTACTGTAAATCATCATTCGAATTCCTCACCCTGGTTTATAACCCTCATTTCGTTTTAGTTACTAGGTGAACACTCTCAAGGTTACTTTAGCGTCACTCAAAGGTCGTCCATAAATTATAGTCTCGCCGTCATGGCATTATACATCAAACCTAGATGATTTACCTATTCCAGCCTATAACTTTGATAAATCTGAAAATAACTCTGACTTAATAGTTTAAAAATTAAGCTTTCGTATACAAGACCCAAGTTTATGCTTTTTGATCCTTAGTAGTTGAAAACTACTAGAAGAAACTTGTGGAGGACCATTATTTAATTTTGTCCTCATTTAGATCGAACAATGTTGTCGAAAGGGCTCTCCAATTTAGTGGCCCGTGGATCTGATTCCATTTACATCGTATGGATGTTTGTTATCGCTTATTCTCATATATAATCATCGACTTTAATCACGTTAGTCAATAACGGATTTAGATAAGTCAAATAAAGAGATATGGGCTTTTGAATACATATATTTTGTATATGAAGCGGATGGAATAGAGAGAAGAGAAACGACGCAAAGTGGAGATGGGTGGTAAGCCAACACCCATTTAACCAAGCATTAATCAATACTTATAGTTACATTAATCTAAGTTACAGACATGTGATGAGTAATGGGATAAGAAATGTACACACATCTACGCGCTCACATATAAAAACAGTCAAGATTGATATAAGAGAATAATTAGCAAGGTCAGAATGTGACTCAAGTAGAATGAATAGAATGGTCTGTCCGTAAGCTAGAATAAGGTACATGGGCTTAACATAATAACCGACACTACAAACTCATACTAGGACAAAAAAGGTTGTTCAGTGTCTTCAAGTTTTTCACAGTGACCTGATCTAAACAAATTCGTTGTTTTAACAAAATGTTAAGTGATAAAAAAACATTTACATTACAGATCAATAATTTTGATCTGATTGAGTTTTCTCTATCTATACGAAGTAAGCGTTGATAATTGTTATATCCCAACGAGAATAAAGAATTATAACCGTCGGGATCTATTAATGGTCTAATACAGCAATTCGGATGACTCTCTCGGTTTCGCACATTGTACGAGCATTCCGTGTACCTGAACAAATGGTTGCTCTGGTTATCAGAAGGGATATCAGCCTTGTGACTTCCGAAGGGACTCGGCTCTCAACATGAGACGTCATAACTCTTCTAAATAAAGACATTCTAACTCCTCGGGTGAAGGTTAAATGGTTTGAATTATTTTTTTCCTGGTTAGCGAGTTAGTCTTCTACAGGATGGGGTCGCTAACTTCATGCCCAACCCTCCTTTATACGGGCTTGGGACCGGCAGCAGCCCCAGAGGGGCTCCGAGAGGAGTTTATGGTCTAACATTATACACAAATTTCTTATTGTGTAATTGTTAAGTAACTAGACTATTCACAATCGTGTTCCACTTATCATTAACTTTATCTTGACCTATAGACTACTACTATAAGATTTATCATTCTTGAGTTATGCCCAGTCTATTTATTACAGTCTTCCTCATTCACATCCAGTTTTGGATAAATCTCGTATTAATGTTATTTAATATTTTATGGTAGGGTGTGGTCTGTTTGCTTTGTATATAAACTCCGCATGTTTTATATGCATGATTTACGTGTTAGAGGCTGAGATTGGTGTTTTGGACTCAACAGGCAGGCAGGGCTAAGCAGGACCGATAAGGATTCTAGACTGCTTGTACGGCTGTTACGCGTCATTAGTCCAGTCAATAATTCACTATTCTCTAATTGCTGATATCATTACGTCATATATATTGATAGAGGCATAAAGCCACAAGTTATAACAATATTGTTGTTCAAAACAACAATAGAAACTATTGAATGAAATCCATTTTAGGTAAGAAGACTCAGTGAACGTTATTTTATCATTGAATGTCCTTATTATACTTGCTATATTGAAACTGTTTTCCTTTCATCTTGTTTTAGGATGATTTGGATTACTGCAATCATTTGTTTTCTATATGCTCCTTTAACTTTATTTCTCAGGAATCCATCAGAAAAAGAGACAAGTAATTTAGAGGTAATATAAGTCGTTTAATAGTATTCTACTCTATAAGTTACTACTAGGGAATATGTAGAGGTTTATGTAGAATTGTATAAAATATGGATTGAATTTATGATCAATCTACTTTGTATTATGATGGAATCTACTCACCAGATAAGTTGTATACAGTTAAACGTTAGATGGGAATTGCTACAATTGACAGTCCAAGACAAGTGAAATGTACAAGTACTTGTGAGACTAGAAAGAAGGCTGTAGAATGTAATCTACCACTAGCTTGAGTTACGGAATACACAATAGATCCAAATGGAAGACTGAAGAATATGTGTATACTACCTGGTTGGGATCCATGAGACGATAGCAACCGATGATTAGAAACCTTGAATGACATGACTCAAAATCGTTTGCGGTGGTGCAGGTGAACCCACTCTTTGTGTTTTCCCAAATTATAATCTTCTGAATTCTTCATGTCCCTTTCTTTTTTCTCTTTCCAAATTTATTTCACTGAATTATACTCCTTGAATAACATCTTCAAACTCTAATCTTTCCGATTACTGCTTATACTCTTACTACCTCTACCACTATGGGATTTGAATCGACAACTGTATCTGTGTGTTGATGTGGTATGGCAACTTGAACTGATGTACGTACGTACGTACGAAGTTCTACGTTGCTGCTGACTGACTACATATATTTCACAATAAAATCTGTGTTTCCTCTGGATTTGGGTTGTTCGTACATTACGGTATGATTAAGATAACTCAAAACTTCAACAGCATCAGGTATCCGCAACCTAAGGAGAATTTTCTGATTCTTTACGAGGTTTTAACTCTTTTATAACCAGGTTATTCATGTCAAAGGTTATCAAATTGCAGTTAACTCTGCAAAAAATCACATTCAGTAGAAAGAAAAATACAGTTAATAATTATCATTATGATTACTGTTATAACGCTCGATTTTCCGTCTGCACTAATGGGATGTTAATCTAAACTAGATTCCCTACCAGTGTCTATTATTCTACAGGACTTCAACACAACTCAGATCAAGAACACATGACTAGCCTGATTAGAATGTGTGTATATTTCCACACTAAAAACCGACAACAATCATAATAATATCAAGGGTCATTGAATATATAACTCATCTAACACTTGTCAGACTATCTACTAGTGTGACTAAGCAAACAACCAATCATTATCTTCCTCGTTCAAACATCAACGACGTGTTGTTACTTTTCAATATGCATAGAATCCGAATCTATCAGTGTTGAGTGTTACTTGTAAGAATGTTTAAGAAGAGAAGACTTGGAGAATTCCCAATGACATTTAGAAGAAAGTTCATCTATTCAAAAACTTAAATTAACAACTAATTTGACCTATAAACTTGATAGATGGTGACTAGCAGTAGGATCTAGAACGCTTGTTTCATCCTAATTAACAGTCGTCCGATGGATGTACCTACATCTCACAGTTGATGTTCACTTCAGAACTCCAACACAGTACTGTACACTTCAAATGCCATCACGTTACCCACTTAGCTACTGAGTTTTGATGGACACTAGCTTGTGCAATGAGGTGAAGTTTTACTTTATTTTTGTATGGGTTGCTCGGATTTTCCCATTAATGTTTAGGACTATAATCGATCAGTCTCCATTAGCATTTGTGCATTTTTTTCCCGATTGTCGCCAGCATGTTTCTAAGCAGAGATGGATGAGGATTAGTAGTCATATCCAGTACGCTTGTTTAGTCCCGGACTGTGGTATGCAGGTATATTTGTCTAATAAGTCCCAAAATAGGACGCAACACGTGACCTGAGTTCCATTGCTAGCCATCATTCATCTTTGCTTATAAAGCTTGTGACTCAAGGTGATGTCGAGGCGATCCACATACGACGCACATATGCCAACAAGAGACTAATCAGTTGCAGTCCTAAACAACAATGAGAAGATTAAAACAAACGATACCAAGTGGATCTAGTTACTTAATAGTTATCCGATAGGAATACACGTAATAATAGTCCATAAATAACTCCTATCAGTTACCATTCATTTATTCTTTGTTAGGGTATAACACTTCCTTTTCAATTACATAATCTATCAAATGATCTATTTCTTTTCTTTTGTTTCTTCGACATATTTCCGATACAGATAACAGTTTGTAAATCTATTTCCAGTTTAGATGAATAACCGGGAACTATCATTCAATTAAAAATGTAGTAAGTGAATGTAAATTCATTTAGAAAGAATAAAAAATACACATTTTGAAGTGTATCGTTTCTACTTCTATTGTTTTATACTGATAGATCCCGACCCAGATGTCTTAATCCTAAACCGGTACCCGCAAGGACTGAAGGTTGTAGATAAGGCTGTGAATTATTGCCGGTCATCACTTTTATACTAAGAGAGAGTGGCTGTTTGTCGTTAGCTGGTTTCCAAAAAAGCCCAAACTGAACAACTGTAATACACAGACTAAACTAATCTCTAGAAAAGCCCCTTCAACTTAATATTAGATAATTGTAGAAAATCATTACAGAGTGACTGAAACTAGAAATACAAACCAGCAAATTCCGCATAAGTTATCACAATGTAGAATGAACATTATTATATGAAAAGGTTCTGAATGCAATCCCAAGTGACCTGTTGAATGGGTCCAGAAATAGGACAAAGGCCATTATAGTAGTTTATCACTTTAAATTCTAAATCCTTAACCAGGTGATTTTCAACTTGTAACAGGAACCTGTCAACTCAATACATGGAATTTGTTTAGAGTAAAATAGTATTAGTAGTAGTAGTAGTGGTAGTAGTAGCAGTAGTAGTAGTGGTAGTAGTAGTAGCAGCAGTAGTAGTAGTAGTATCGGGATTGACTCATGAATCTGATTATTTCATTGTTTAACATTGCGTAAATTAAATTACTTTTTACTGAATTGTTATTGCTGATGTCCTACTTCTTTTTATATTTTTCAGATGATGCATTTCTCTTTGTATTGATGTTAATATCTCTGTTGAGCTTCTACCAGTTATCCAAGTGAAATCCTAAAAGGAACAAACAACTTAGTAATTCAAACAGATGAATTTATTATCATCAATCAAGCTGCGAAACATTGTGTCTTTCAGTTTGACCATTTAATTTAATTGTGGATAAATACTATTTCCACTGAATTAAAAAAAGTCTTGATTAATTTTTTCTGAGAAAATCATAATCCAAATTGAGGATACTCATACTAGGTGAATAATTGAAATCAATCTATCGTGCCGATAGATAGCCTTCGTTCTGTTGGTAGAAGAAACTGGACTAGTAGTGAAATAGTTCTTTATTTAGATCGTGTTGCAGGATATCATCGAGTACCAGGTTGCTTGTTTAAACACACGACGCTTTTCAATGTTCAATACAAGATAAAAGGAAATATAATCCCTGTGCAAAATAAGGAAGTGAATGAATACTTGAGCTCTATTTTTTTACATGTATTTAGATGTTTGAGGTCAAGTCTTAACAAATCAACCTAAGCTGTGACAGATTCCGCTTATCCATTCAATCAGGACTCTATTAACAGTTGATCATGAGTCCATATAGAAACAGGGAACTGTTAAACGATTGACAATTAAGAGCCATGAGAAAAAATTTGGTCGATATGATAACTTACAAATGCCCTTAAGTAAACTGATGAACGAGTTTCAGATCCTTGAACCATTTCATGTTTAAAAACAGTTTTTAGTGGGGCCCGTGAGTTTGTCACCGTTCAGATCGGACGATGTTTGTTGACGAGCTCTCCACTTTAGTGGCCCATGGATCTAACTCCATGTAGATCGTAAGAATGTTTGTTATCACTTATCCTCGTATACAATCATCGGCTTAAACCACGTTAGTCAATAACGGAATTTAGATAAGTCAAATAACGAGAATAGCCTTTGAATACATATATTTTGTGTGTAAAGTGAATGTAATAGAAGAAAGCAAAATGACGCGCAGTGGAGATGGCTGGTAAGCCAACTCCATTTTTAGCCAGGTGTTACTCAATATTTATAGGCAGACAAAATAAACTACAGACATGTGATGAGAGACATGGGATATGAAGTGTACACACATATACGCTCATATAAAAGCAGTCAAGACTGATAAGCGAATAATTAACAAGGTCAAAATATGACTCAAGTAGAATGAATAGATCGGTTTGTCCAAAAACTAGAATAAGATATATTATGGGCTTAAAATAATGACTGACACTACAAGTTTACCGCGAAAGTGCTTAAACCATAACGGGCTCATCTGTTTTGCAAAGACTCCTAAATTTTTGGTCTTATGACAAGTTTGGTACTTCTTAAAATTCTTTTCAAAGAAACTCGCTAGTTAGCTTGAAATAGGTTTCTTTCTGGATCATTAATGACCCCACGAAAAATTGTATTGTTTACTTGCTGATTTACTTACGCCTGTCAACCTTCGCGGAACATATAACACAACTATCACTTTCTATCCTTCTCTGTCTAAGGCTGTCCTTTCAAATGGTATTCCCTTTTTCGACGTCTACCTCCGATATTCAGCGCAAAATGCTTTTAGATCTACATTTTCTCATTCAACGTTGACGACTCCAGGTTGGGGCTTTCCTTGTGGTGCAGTTCGGTGATTTTCGTAGTGTATGTCCTATATACTTCCAACATCTTTTCCTGATTTCCTCCATAGCCGGAAGCTGAGGGATGCTGCTGACGGCATCTGGTCTCCGAGTGCTATTCATGTTTTGACATCTGCCTTCGATACTCGGCTCAATGTACTCTTTGACCTATCTACCAATATTCACGACTCCAAGATGGGCTTTCCTCAGGGTGCGTTTTGATGGTTTCTGTAAAGTGTTGTACCCACCCTAAATACCTTTTTTAATTTCTTCTTCAGCTGGGAGCTTCTCTTTCCGCTCTCATAGAGTGATGTTTCTGATGGTATATGGCCAACGGACATTCAGTATCTTTATAACAATTGTTTATAAATACCAGTACGTTTTTGACGATGATTGAAGCAGTTCACTAAATCTTGATGTTTGTATTGAACATTCCGGGTTTGTTGTTGAATGGTGGTCATTTTGAGTTCCATATGTTCTTCAATTATGGGGCCAATTCATTTGTTATCCCTTCCCATTTGAATCAGATCCTCATAGTTTATCAACAATGCTGCTCAGATATGTAAAGCCTTCAGCCGCTGCCAGAGATTCTCCATCAAGTAAGATCTGTTTAATGCTCTGCTTTTCCTCTTGTATGTTTCAAGACCTGACGTTGCGAAAGCTGTTGCTGCAGTGATTTAGTCCATCTGAATTTGTCGAAGTGTATGGTATAGGAGAGCTAGGTCATCTGCAAATCCAAAACATCTAGTTGAGTACAAGATGATTATTGCATTCCGCGCTTCCTCTCAGATATTGAGGCTTTCATAATCCAGTCAACCACCAAAAGAAACAGAAATGAGAGTTAGCAGCCTTGTCTGACATTGGTCTTCAAATAGTATGTATTTGCAAACTGCCCTTGCATTGTAGTCCGTCGTGAGATTTTCGCAGGAAAGCCGTTTATTTAAAAACTTATTATCCCATCATGCAGTCATTATCCTACTTAAAGCTGGGTAGATCCTTGATATTGCCTACGAAAGTGCATTTTTGAATCGATCTTCACTCTAAAAGTTCCTCGTACAACCGTCTAGACTTGAGGAAGTCTCCCCGCGTTCACCACTACTGATCTTCCCTCAGCGTTAAATGTTGAATATGATTTTTCTCAGTCAGCTTCAAGTGCCCTGTGGTTCAATCAATGACAATGCAAAACCACAAAGATGAGCAGTAAGAATATCTATACAAAAACCTGAATTCATGAGTAAACTCACCAATAACTTCACTTAACTCCTTATTTTTAAAATCGACCTTTTCATGATCCATAAAATCTCGTAATTTGAACCAGTCTATTATGAGGGGCCTATCCTTACGTCTAATTTTGGCAATACTTGCCAAAAAAAATGCCTGGTAATCCGAGCATGCTGACGAATGTGTAGTAACTCTTAAGTATAATCCCAGCCAGATCGAGCTATTTTCGGTAAAGAATACACGATAAATTAGAAGTTATCTGTTCCAAAATAATATTCGACACCCTGGTTGATTTCGTTACTCAGAAACTAATATGAAACAGTGTTGCATTTCTAAGGCTGAATCGCTAAGAGCTGAGTTTACATCATGGTTATCCCAAAGAGATTACTCACAATTAGCGTTAACACCATGACATTATTGCCGACATCTGGCAATGTGCGTTTGACTACCAGGACCAGAAGTGTTTGAGGAATGTTATTTCACCATGGTATGAGCCATTCAACATTCGCCAAAACTGGGACTCGTGGTGAAATAGGAAGGGTGATCAATTTATGAAATGCCACCGTGACGCATAACACAGATGACTAGGGCCAGAGTATATTGATCAACTATGGCTGCCACGCTTTGTTACAACCTAGATAATCTGGAATCAAATGCATATATTCTGGGGTAGTACCTATCACGTTGATCTCATTTGAACTGCTCTGAAAAACTGGAGGGCACACGACAGATATTATTACTTTTTTGGTTGGCCTTTCTCGTTAGTATCCAACCCTAATTCAGTTTTCGATCCGATCCACGATTTTATACACGTGCATCATCAGAAATCAACCAACTAGTATAATGCCAAACTACTTCCAGTGAGGCCTTTAGATTGACAGTTAGATCCCAGAGAAAGTTATAGATGTCTAAATAAAAGCAAGTCTTGCTTTATTAAAAATTGAAATTTAAAATGGTTTCTGTTTAGCTTGCTCTCGATAGCGTCTCAAGAAAATCACTCGAGAGATTATCTTGCTCCTACCATCAATCAATTAACTAATCAACTAACTGCCCATTACTCAAGAGACATGACCAGTCTCAAACTCGAAATGTAAAGCAAGAAATGTAAGTGTGCAAGAAATGTGGGAAGGAAACCATAAGTCGTTCAAGCATATGTTTTATGAGTACAGGAGCAATTTAGTCATCACTTACATGAACTCCACGCTAAAAGTATATGTTCATTAAACACGAAACTGAGCATAGAATTGTTTTCTTCCTTGGAACCTCATTTCAAAAATAGAAATGTAAACAAAATGTGCAATTTTCATACACTCACTTCCGTAGAGACAACAAACTTTTCTTTCAAGTAAGGAAAGTATCGGAGTGCAGTCACAGCATTTCTAGTCTCAAAAGTCGACTTCGGAACCTTCCTTAAATTCATCATATAACTAATAGCCAGAAAGAGGTTTTTTCGAGACTTTAATAGTTGAATTCACGAGTCAAATAAAGCTAGACCACCATAGAAAACCTGAAGGCACTGGACGGCAGTTTCGTCTCAGTGTGTGACTCCTCAGAAGTGTACATCCACGATCACACGCCAAAGGGTCTCGAACTAAGGAACTTTGGACCCGCGTGCCAACTAGACCGCTGAACCGATGTCCAACGGTCAAAATATTTGACTTGAACCAATCCACGATATTGTCCGGATGTCAATATTTCCCTCACAACAGACACAGTTGTATCCCACTGGATCGATTGACTTTTGACATTAACACCGTTAGATGCCGGATGCATGACCAAACGCTTTCAGCTACAGTAGGACTGATAAAGTCGTAACTAATGCTGTAAACTAAGAAAACTATCTACTTCAGGGATTTACTTACCGCTAAAGTAGCAACTTCACTCGAGTATCAACTTTAACCCATCTCGTTGGCTCGTACACACCAATAGTGGTTGTGTGTCGTATTTTCGGTCATAAAACCTGTTGCAAAGTTAAACAAAATCTAGAATTAAAAGACTTTAACTTTACTATGATCATAGAACGGCTGCTTAGATTTATGAAAAGATACGTGAAACTTTTGTTTAAGTTCACCAAAATATTTAACAATCTACGCTGGACTTTTGTATCATTTTAACCAGGGTCATACGATGGTCGCTCTCTGGATTCTGTATTTGTCTTTGCATTTATTTTGCATCGTCAACGCATCAAGTCTGACAGATAATTCTCCTTACAAATCTGCAGACCAAATTATATGGGCTGAAATATCTTCGAACACTACGTTCTGCTGCAACCTAACATTCAAAGGTATTTTTGCTACATTTTAGAACGAGCATTTGATTTACTATATCATTATCTGTATAGACAGAGTTTAAAGTCATCAAGTGAAATATGTAAGCATTGTTAAGAAAGTGATGATCTTGGTTCTTGATTTTAGCTTAACTAAATATATTTTTTTGGTGTGTTAGGTTGTCTATGATCCTACACATAACCTCTACAAATTGACTCAATGATGTATGAAAAGTCAACCTCCGATAAACTAGACTCAAAGGTCTAAATAGTTACTTCATCGTGGTGCTTTCCAGCTGTTGGGTTTAAATCTTATGCAATTATAATCATCTCATCTCTTATGATGTATGCATTAACAAAGCACAACTAGATACAGTTAGCGAAATAGATAGTGAAAAAATGAAAACAATATCACCGATACTGATAAGATCTTAACGTTTGGAGTTCAATTCGAGAAATGGTATTCACTAATGAATAATATTACTTGAAATATATGTGAGTATGGAAAGTGAGTAAATCAACAACACTGAGACAAACTGTGTAGTAAAATAAACACTTTCTGGCGAATATTTGTTTCGTGGTAGATTTTTATGCATATTTTGCCAAAAATATCTCATAACCTAAGTAGCGTGTTTTTCAATTCTGTACGGTTTCTCACCACAATCTCGTAATTTTGAAGCTGCGATAGAAAACTTTGAGAAAATGGCATAAAACCTCACAATTTCCCTAGATCTTTGGAAGATCGTTGGACTTTGGAGAAAACATTAAAAGTTCCCCAAAATAGCGAGATTGAGACCTAACAGCTGCTATTTGCAAGTTTCTAAACATCCAAAAAACGAGATTCACTTAACTGATTTATGTTGCTTGTTTATTCATTCAAAAAAATAACCAAGTCTCGTACTAATCTACAAATCGGTAGTTGCATACCCTTGATAGATTATCTCAAGATTGATCACAGTTATATTTCAGATAGGTATCAAACTTTTGATACATTTCTCTACGCTTTTCAGAATCAGAAGCACTGCAGTTGAGAGTGAATGACCAACGAATTTCTTCCTCAGTTAAAAGACCTGGCGAAGATATCAAAAGATATATTTCTCCGTCAGCCAAAGCCTGGAACATAAACGAAGCAGTCAAAAATGATATCTGCCTGACAAAAATCAATAATAATCCTGACGAAATAGAAAATCCTCCCCAAATTATTTGTGAAAAATCTGCAGATTATGGTCTGGGAGAAACTTTGGAAAAAAAGTCCATTACTTTAAAGTTTTACGGTAAGTTAATAAAAGAGTGAAATAGCATATGAGTGATTTATTTATCGAAGGTTATGGGCATTATTAAAATATGATACATGTACTATGTAATGACTTTGTTATAACGCGTTTCATATAGTGGTACGATAAAACTTTTCAATCAAAAATGGGAATTTTCGCCTCACAAACTTGTATAACAGTAACTTCCCGTATGTTTTGTGTTCAATTACTTTGTAAGAACATGTGTGCAAATTAAGGTTCTTAAAGATCAGTCAAACTCTCAGTGAAATTTACATCTTACGCATCATGATTCGTTAAACGCACGAAATTTTCCAATATATCGGGTGTCTAAATAATGTCAAAGTGAATTACTCATTATACTTGATGAATTTTTAAATCTTCAAGACTTAATGCACTTTATGCATTGTACCACGACTGGTTTCGTTTTGATAAACAAAAATTTTTTGTCCCTTGAATTTAAACAGATAGCTTGAGGATTAGTTGGCTTAACCAATACCATAGTAGGTCTGTATCAAGAATTTCCAGTGATCCTTATATTTTGTTTGAGATCTTCTTGCTTTCAAATACGGGAATACTTAGTCACAATCCGGAATCGTGTGATTGGTAAAGAAAGACCAGATTGAGAAAATCTTTCACAACTTTACTGAGGCCTTATATAGTGTATGGAATTATTCATTTTACAGATATGATGAAAGTTAACGGTGGAAACCTCCGAATAACACCCATCAACATTGACCACATAGTCCTCGATAAAATCATGCATCATCCAATGCTATTCAGCTCCTCATGATTCTTTATTTTCTGATATGGTACACATAATATTAATCGAAAGAACGTTTTGAACCTAATTTTCGTGTGTTTTGTCACCAGTAAGCAATACATATTTTTATCCTTTGAAGCAAAGATTTTCCTTTGAAAACTCAATCGAACAGTCAAAATTGTCACCGTTTTTCTCTTAACCCCATAGTTAACTCAAGATCTTTTTTTATTTACTGTGAAATAGACATTCACTTGATGACCAGCTCTTGTACTGTTGAAAAATTTGCTGTCTTTAATTTGTGTATATGTGTCCGATTTTCCACAAATTGATGTGTGTTTGTTTGATTGTTTGCTAAAAATACAAGTGTGCAATGTCTTTGTAGTATTCTCATGTTTACACTACAAAGCTATAATCAAAAACCTTAAAACATGATAAATAATACAATGTAATACGACCATCTGGAAATTACGTTTACAGTCACTTCAATCCTTAAAAATATTTACTTAACAGAAATTCCTAAGACGAACCTATAAGAGGTCTAATAATAATGGGAAATTTAAGGGAATTCTCACTTTACCTGTTGAAAAATACGCCCTCCGGTTGTTCTCTAACTATGTTTACAAATGCAGCAGTTAGGTTTTATTGTTTGGAAGGTTAATTCCCAATTGATTCTGCCTTGCGTAGTCCTAAAATAATTTCTATTTTTCATTTTATTTCAGAGCAAGCCAAAATCGTTAAATTTCCAAAAAGTCTTAAATTTAGAGAAGGATCAAATCAAGTAATTGAATGCAGTGCTACTGGATTTCCTGACTTATATGTCGTCTGGCGCTTGAAGGTTAGTTATACACAGTGATTTCAGAAACATTGAAGTATATCCCATTTCTGATTATAATGTTGTTTTTATCAACGATTTTGGCAAAAACATACTGATGACAGTATATTTTTTAATATAGTTAAATTTCCTCTAGCTAACTTTCAACATATTATAAGCAGCCTGTGTTGATTATCTTGATCGATCTTTATTGACATATGCTTCCCATTTGTGGATTACCTTAATACAGTGATTTATAGTGTTTACAGAAAAGATAAATTTATGGCTGGCAGTGGGAAACCATACTCGGGTTTCGTCGTATTCAAAACTTGTTATATGGATGTCCTTCCATCTCAATGTTGATGTTCACTGGAGGACTCAAACCTAGTACTTCTTGATTCACATATCCGTCGCTTTGTCGACTAAATTACTGATTGCGTCACTGAGGGGGTAGGCGAGATATCCGTCTTTTGAACAAAGAACGAGTTTAATGCCAAGTAGTTTGCTCCATTCTACTTTATGGATGTGAAACATGGACACTAAGGGTAGAGGATATGTGTATGTTACTGGTACTTAAGCATAGATGTTTTCGAAGCATTACTCGTGTATTTTGGGACCACAGAGTAAATAGTGTCTGTGTTCAGAACAGAGTACTGGGTGAAGACGGCAAATCTATTGATGAGGTAGTAAATCTTTAACTGAGGTTGTTGAGACATATGTTACGTATCTCCGACCACCACCTACCTAAATAGGCGATGCTTTCTAATACGGACACATCCATTCCCTGTTGTCACCCAAATTATGAGATCCTAAATTCCTCATAATATTTTTTCTGTTATTATTTCGCCAACTCATATTTTCTTCCTGAATCGTATCTTCGATGCCTAAACTTCGTTATCACCATCGATACTGCTACTACCTCTACTGTTCTAGGATTCGGCCTAACAACCTTATCTCTGTGTTAATGGTGTATGACAACTCGAACCTATGTAAACAAGTATAGGTGCCACGTCCTGTCTGATTGACTGAATGAATCCAGACACCTACTCAATTGTTTAATGGGTTTAATATTTATATTATTATTGCAAATAATTCGAAGTATCCCGTTATTGATAACTTGGGGTGGAGCTGAGTCAATCTTTTGTCGGCATATATGCATCGTGTGAGAATTGCCTCGATACACCTTACGAGTGCCAAACATGACGAAACTGTTAGTCATGAATCCATCTGTTTTTATCAAAATATTCTTTTTCAGATGAGATTACAAATTTTTCTGTATCAATTAACATAATAACTTTGAGTAGGTAATTGAACAAAAGACACATCATGACTTAAACGCCTTAAATGGATTTATTTATTATTTATTTGAACACATAAATAGTGGTTCAAGGGGGCATCAGATATATATACGCCACACAAATCTCATTTGATTTGTGTGAAGGTTGTGATACTGCCCGGGTGCCCAAACCGAAGCAGGTGATTTTCTTAGGGGACCACACTTGGCCTCAATCGGATCATATTTTAGGAAGCGCACAGTCTTACATAGCCGTAACTGCTAATAGCTACAGTCAGTTTCCCTAATGAAAATGTTGGTGAGATTTGTTAAATTCATACTTTAAGTTGATAACACCATAGGAAATATTGATGAAGTTGAAAAATAATACTAATATTAATCCATCTTCATTACACTTGTATGTAAAATTTCCCTATGGATTAAGATTAATGATACAAAGTTGTACTACTTAGCCCATGTATAAATATCTGATTTTATCAATCTATTTTATTGATTGAAATCATGAGTCAATTGAAGCTAGACCATCATGAAAAACCTGGAAGCACCGGACGGCCGTTTCGTCCTAGTATGGGACTCCTCAGCAGTGCTCATTCACGATCCCGCACCCCGCGAGATTCGAACCCAGGACCTGCCGGTCTCGCGCCAGGCGCTTAGCGAACTAGGACGAAACGGCCGTCTAGTGATTCCATGTTTTCCATAGTGGTCTAGCTTCAATTGACTCATGATTTCAATCAGTGAAATTTCTAAAATCTCCTCAAAACCCCTTCTGATAAACTATTTTATGTAAAACCCTGATTTCTATCATGAAACTAACCAAAAAAATGTTTATAAATTCACATCAAACAAAAACAGAATTAGTTAAGTATTTTATTTTCATAAATAACTAATGTAACATCATCATTTTCACGTTTATTGCCTATAATAGAGACAAAGGAAGAGAAATGAATGAAACTTATTTTAATGTGTTTATATCAAAAATAAATCTACTCTTAGTTAACTAGAATTCATCATTTGGAAAAAAGTTAGGACAATGAATGTGGTAGGTTGTGGTGACTATTTTTATTTCATAGATTCTTGTCAGATGGTTACAACCTAAAATCCATAGTAATAATTTCGCAATGAAATCCAGGACGCGCGTTTCGTCCTATCTGGGACTCGTCAGCTGAATGTACCCATATCTCAGAGTTGATGGTCACTCTGAAACTCGAATCCAGTCCTCATAGCTACTTGCTTGTGCAATGGGGTGAAGTTTAAATTCACTTGGTATTGTTTGCTTGAATCTTCCCACTGGTATTGGGACTGCAATTGATCAGTTCCCTATTGGTATTATAAGCAAAGATGCTTGTAAATTAATGCAATACGCACAGTATGCACATATGTCAATAAGAGACTGAGCAGTTACAGTCCTAAACATCAGTGGGTGGATTTAAGAAAATAGTACCAAGTGAATTTAATGGTAATAATTATCGATAACCAGTGTATCTATACTATCCACCCAACTAAGTTGGGAAACCAGTTTTTTTTCGTAATAAGAAAACAGTTTTCTATGAACAGAGTCACGGAGTATCTATCTCCTAAGAATTATTATGCTTATTTAAAAACATTCAACATTTCACGAAATTGCATCGGTTAATGATTATCTGGACTCAATATACCAATCGATAACGTTTCGGGTGTTCCATTCTCCACTAAATAAATATCAACACTAGAATGTAGACATGTCCAGTTGATAAATCCCTAATAAGTTGAAATACACGTCTTGAATTCCATTTCTGACCTTGAATTATACTAGACACAAAAATATCCTTAACACTTCCTATTGGTATGTGATTATGTAATCAATCAATCAATCAATCGAGATGAATGAATCTAAACGCTTTGAGAGTTTACTCTCAACCTTTTCATACAGTTTGTCTCCACCATCTCATAAACAATATACATACATTTCCTATTCATATAGGTTTAAAAGTTTGCTATACTATGTTCACATGTTAATTCATCACCTTTTCTCTACCCTACCCCCCCCTTTTACTTACGGATTCCCATAAATCTATGAATAAAAAAGATAAGTTTATGAGGGGAAAGAAGAATATAGAATAATTCTGTTGTGTTGTTCTTTGCCTTGTCTACCAGTAAATTAAAAAAAATAGTCATATCGATTAACAAAGTTTCCTTTCTGTGTGTAGGTATGTATGTATGTATGTATTGCCTTCTATACATATATTAGTTACAATATCAGACATGAGTCTTTGAATATTTATGTGTATGTATGTTATGCATGGATATCATACAACTTGGTAATTTGTTATCATTTTATCTTTCTTCCCTATCTATATCATTGTTCAACTCAAAGAACTGTTAAAAATTAATTAAGATTATCAATCATTTGATTATTTTCAAAAGGGGTTTTGTAGATATTATAGTAATTTCAGTAGTTGAGATCATGAGTCAGTTGAAGCTAGATCACTATGTTAGACCCGAAAGTACTGGATGGCCACTTCGTTCTACTGTAGGACTCCTCACCAGTGCGCACCCACATTCGCGCCAAACGAGGTCCGAACCCAGAACCTACCAGTCTCGCACGCTAGCGACACATCCACCATCGTTTTCAGTGATTTACTATCTCACAACACTGGTGGATGTGTCACTCAATTTCATGGATTGGTTGAAGCTAGACATTAACACCATTGGATGCTGGCCAGCTCAGTGGTCTAGGGGTTAGGTGCTCGCTCGCTCGCGAGACTGGTATGTCCTGGGCTCGAATCCCGCGAGGAGAGGTCGTGGGTACTCACTGCCGAGGAGTCCCGCAATAGAACGAAACGAATGTCCAATGCTTCCAGGTTTTCCATGGTAATCTAACTTTCATTGACTCATGATCTCTTAAGTCAATTCACCAAATGGAGAGTCCTCAATTTTTTCTTATCTCTAACGATGATAAATAGTATCATCTATAGCTTAATAATTTTAGAAGTGATACATTGAAAGATTTAAAACTTAAAAATACAAAATGAAAACTTTCAACTATAGTATCCCCTATTAGAAAATTTATCGAATATACAAAAGAATAATTTTTAATACTTCTAAAGGATCGACAAAGGATTATCAGCAATGTCAATTATTCATTACTTAATAGACAGTCCTACTCACCGCCTTCTCGAGGTGGAGGTGCTGTTTACGAAATTGTCAGGATAAAAACGGTGATCCGGCACTAACTGGGTTGGTGGATATAGAGGATCCATCCAGGGTAGTTGCAAAACGCTGATTCCAAATCAATGGAACACATGAACTACCATGATTCTAGGGGAACAAATGGCGTATGAACCTACTGTCGGTCACCGACTACCATGGGACTGCATCTCCTAACGTTGCTCTAGTGCCTTGTGAATCAGACCCCTAGATCAAAAGTTAGGGGTGTGGCCGCCTGAGAATCCACCTGCTTCAGTCTGGGCACTCGGGTAATATTCCATTCCTCACAGAAATCAATGATAACTACTACTGGCCTCATTGTTATTGTGTGGCGCATATGTATTTGGTGCCGCCTTGTACCAATGTTTATGTGTTTAAATAATAATAGACAGCAGATCAAATGCATGAACTTCCTTATAGTTTGGATCCCTCGTAAAGAATTAAACGGACCGATCACAAGTCACACAATCATCAATACAGTGATATCAAATACTCAAAACGTGTTAAACATAGTATTTCTTAAGTAAATTGACTTCTATTGGTA